TCCACTGCCCTCCTATAGCCCCCACAGTGGAGATGGACCCCACATGCAAATCCGGCGTGTCCCCTGCTCTCCACATACACCCAGACTCTCACCCTGCTAGTTCCCATTCTGGGGACAGCAGTCACACGTTTGGGCCCCAGCCTCATCCCAAACCCCAACTGAACAAGCGTCTGAAGCTGGCTGTGCCCATGATCCTGCTGACCAGAGGATCCTGCAGGGGTCCGAGGGGCTGTGCCCGCTCTGGTCTACCCCCGGGCCAGCTCAGAGGACGGTGCGGTCCCAGGCTGCCCCGCTGCGTGGAGGGTTTGGGCTGAGGGACCCAAGCCTGGATCCTGTCCTCGCCCCACTCCTCCTGCCAGCACTCAGCCTGTGCAGTCAGACTTCTGTCTCTGCTGAGTCCTGGGGCTGGGGAGCAGGGCAGTGGCTCTGCACACAGTAGGTGTTTAATGAATGACTTGTCCCACTTTGTAAAGGACCAGTTTATGGACAATGAGACTCTAAGGCTGCACCCCCCAGCCCCAGAGACAAAGGATGGGGAGAAACCAGCTGGTGCCTTCCCCCAGTTGCCTGCTCACCGACCCATAGGAGCGGCCTCCCTGGGGGCCAGGAGAGGACGGTGCCCACGAGGATGCCTTTCTGGGTGTCAGGGGGCAGTAGGGAGACGCATTCCTTCAGACCCAGTCAGCCGACTTGGAGCAATGTATTGCAAGGAAAGGACAGGACAGGAGACACGTGTAAAGGAGCGGAGAGGCGGCACCTGTGCCCTTGTCATTAATTCACGGGGGCCACTGAGACCACCCACTCAGTCAACAGTCAATAGAGCAACTGATTCAAAAAATTCTGATCTAGCCACAGGATGGAATATTAGACTGTCACCAGAAAGCATGTTTCTACAAATTTAAGGCATGGGAAGTGCTCATGGCATAAAATAGTGAAAGAAATATGGGAAACAGGAATTGTGTGAAGCAGCAGCCCCAAGATCTGTCTTGTGGACCCTAAGTATGCTCGAAAACGGGTCAAGAATTTCAGCAAAATGTTAAAAGTACTATTTTTGGGTGGTGGGATTGTGGATGTCTCATCGCACTGACCAGAATGCTAACAGACATTGGCTGAGCAGCTTCCCATTGTGGCCGCCTTCTGGAAGCTGGAACAGCACAGTGAACAAAATAGACAGAAATGATTTTGTTTTAGAGAGGAGGAGGGACGGAGGGAGGGGAGAAGCTCAAGCAGACTCCACGATGAGCACGTGGGGGTGCGACCTCACGCCCCTGAGATCGTGACCTGAGCTGAGACCAAGAGTCGGATGCCTAACTTGTGGAGCCCCTCCTCAGACACCACCAGGAATGATTTTAATACGAAAACCAAAACACGGCTGCTAGCTCTTGCCTCAGTGCAGGGGCTTGGCTGAGGGTTTGGAATGAGAGCATGAACAAGTTGATGCGGAAGGAATGCACCAGGTTCTGACCGTGAGCTGTGGAGGGACAGGCTTTGGCGGGCTGGTCCCTTCCAGCTCCCCAGTTCTGGCCTCATGCCATCCCTGAGAGCTAAGCGGTGGGGAGCCCCGAGCCGTTCTCAGCGGGCTGGGCTGGCCTCCTGGGGGCCGGGTGTGTGTCCAGGTGCTCGGGGCAGCACACACAGAAGGCTGTTCTAGCAGAACATTCAGGCGTTCACTCTGGTTTGATAGACGGAAAAACTGTAAAAACACCACAAGGAGCGTCCTCCTACTCTATTCCCACCTACCCGCCGCTCAGATGTGACTGGGTGCGGGCTCTCCCCTTGTCTGTCTGTCTGTCTGCACACAATGTTTCCTGAGCTGCTTGAAAGCGAGGGGCAGACACGATTCCCTCTGCCCACAACCAAAGACTCCCTCTGCTGGAAGCGCACACCCCAGGTCAGGAAAGTGAAGTCTGACACGCTGCCGCTGCTGTCTACACTCCTTCCCCTCATTCCCATATGACATCCCTTGTAGACTTCTACCAGTGCAAGCTCCCTGCTTCCCTCTTTATCTAATGGATGAAAACCTGTTCCTACCAGTCTTTTCAGCTGATTGTCCCCATATGGCCAGAGAGCCCTCTGAAGCCCTTTGTGTCCTCCTGCCACATCCTGACCATTCTTGGAGCACGTCTTACTTCTCAGGAGCTTGATTCCCAGGCCCCTTCTGCACTTTCCCTGCCCGGGGCGTATTGTCTCCATAGAGCCCTAGTTCCTTCCAGGGAGACTGACGTTTGGCAAGCAGGAGCCGAGCACCAGGAGAGTCTGGTGCTCTGGGGTAGTGTAGCTTCCATTTCCCTGAGTGGAGAGAGCCAGGAAATGCGTCCGCTGTACGTGCACGTGCATGTGCACACGCGCACACACACACATGTGCCATGTCCACTGCCTCCTTTCAGAAGACATAAATACATGTTGTGAGTTTGTCCTGACGCAGCTTGCAGGACACAGGTCCACAGGTGGAAGGCAGACACCAAGCAAGGAAACAACCATGGTGGGGTCAGGGGCAAGCACAGGGGACACAGTGGGGGAGGGGAGTGGGGGCCCTCTTCAAGATCTGCAAGTTTGGGGAAGAGCCCGGGCTGCAGGAATGGTGAACGCCACCCCTGAGTGGGGCCTGCTCTGTGTGGCTGGAGCAGAGGGTGCTGGAAGGTGTTCTGGGAGCCAAACCACCCAGCCTCGAGGCTGGGGGCTGAAAGGAGAGGCAGGATCTCATTCATGTTTGGCAGTGCTCCTATGGACAGGCTCCTGGGGCAGGACCAGGAGACAAAGGCCAGCGAGGAGGCACCTACATGCACCGTGCACCCTGGCGAGTGGGGACGGTGGCCAGACCCAGGGCTGTGACCGTTCCAACACTGGGAAGTGGGATGTGTTTCCAAGGCTCTGACAATGAGGGGATGAGGGAAAGGAGGGAGGCATCGGAAGGTGATGGTGGGTCCAGGGAGGAAGCAGGACCTCTGTTTGGGTCCCACTGAGTTTGAGATGGAAGGGTGAGGAGGCAGCTGGGCAGGGTGATCAAAAAGGCCCTGGGATCTGCCTTCCGAGCCTCAGTTTCCCCATTTGCCCTTTGATCGTCCAGGCGCAGGCACAGGAGGCACCAGCCAGGATCACATGCCATGGGGCAAACACCTTCCCCTCTCTCACGTAGCTTTGATCATAACCTGCCTCCCTCCGGCTGCCCTGCCCTCCATGACCACAGTGCCCCTGTGGTCCTGCTGGCAGGTGTCTGGACACTGCTCCCTCAGGAATCCCACTGTCTTTCTCCCTGAAGAAAGAAAGGACACAGCGTGCCCACTGCGTCCGTGCTGACAAGTGTTATTCCAATATTCTCTTTGTTTCAGGAAAAGGCTTTTATGGAGATATATGTTTGGTTAGCCGCTGTAATGTTCGTTTCTGATGAAATGATTTATTTTCCTAGTGATCTTTCCACGTTAAAGCCATTTCTCCTGGCTATTTTGGCAAGGGTAGATGTTTTTGGTAGGCTATTAAGAGGGTCGACCATTTTAATAATATTTTCACCTGCGACTTTGATCGGAAGGCTGAGCTTGGCCCAGATGTTTATGGTACATTTTGATAGTGTTCTGTGAGAATAGTATCCCCAGCTGTCCCACGGCTAAGAGGCAAGGGCCTCATCTGGCCCCTGCAGACGCTGAGCACGGCTCTGCCCTGTCCACCATGTACCGCTGGAAGTTCGTCCTGTCCCAGGGGGACCCTCAGCAGAGTGACTTCTACACAGAGAATGTGTGCCCCTCCCACCACTGCCATCACCAAATGCTGCTGCCCAGGTGCGGAAGCCTTCCTGCACAGGTGCAGGGAGAGGCTGCTGCCAGGCTGTGCTGTGGCTGCTGGTGGAGGGAGAGCATGACATTGGCAGAGGCCACTGGGACAGTGCTGGGTGAGGATGTCCATAGTGCAAAAGATGTGAGTGGGGCTGGGGGTGGCCTTGAAGGTGGTGGGGAGGAGAGAGCTGATGGAACAGGTGGCTGCGCAGAGCGGGGTATGCAGAGGGTGGTGCTCGTGTGGGTGGATGGCAGGGCAGACGGTGGCAGTGGTATCGAAAGTGGCCGAGGCCACGGCTGGTGTGACAGTGTTGAAGGTAATGGGAAATACCATCAGGCTGGCCCAACACTTTTCTAGCCTTGATTCAGGGGACGGTGGGTGCCAGTGCCCAGGGGTCCTCACAGTAAAGGCACCAAGCGGGGATGAGATGTAGCGTTTCGTGCCCTCTGTGGCCCAGGGTCCCTCCCTGGGAGCAGCACACAGAACCAGCCCTCCGGCCTCGTCCTTCAGCCGGAGCAGCTCCTGCTGTCCTGAGTCCCTGGCCCCAGAGCTCCCTCTCCAAGTCCTGTTTGGGACCTATGGGCCTGAGTGACCAGCTCCTAGACTCAGGACCAAGGGAGAAAGGGAGACAACGGCCAGAGGATACACTACCCCCAGCTGCTGCCAGACGCAGGAGGTGGTCTGCAGAGAAGCAGGCCCTGCCCTGACTGCTGGGCATGGGTCCCAGCCTCCTGGCAGTGGGCCTCAGGTGTCAACTCAGGGCGGGGCCTGACCGGGAGGGAGGGTGAGACCGTGGCAGGCCCAGTGAGGAACTGAAAGTGTCAGGTGCCTCACTCGGGAAACTGAGGCCCCAGGAAGCACGTGGCTGCTGCCACACTGATGTTTCTGAAAGAAGCAGGACAGGGCCGGACTCCCACCACCGTGCTGGGGACCAGTCGCTGGGCAGACGCGATCTGCGCGCGGTGCCCAAGCTCCTGGCGGCTGAGGCTGGGCCGGGGCTCGCCACGCTCCCTTCGCCCAGGTGGCCCGACTGCAGTTCGAACCCCACCCCCGCCCGCCTCTCCCGCGGGCCGCTGTCCGGCCTTGGCCGCCGGAGGGAGGAAGCGCTGTCCTCATTCCACCTCTGGCCGCCGCGGTGCCAAGTTGCTGGCGGCGGCGGCGGGAGTCGGGGCGGCGGGCAGCGGCGGGGCGCAGCGCCCTCCCCGGCGCCCTCGCGGCTCGAGGTTACTCACGTAGAGTCCGGAGTGTTCGGCGCCGAAGAACGGGAAGGGCACGGAGAGCGGCCGCAGACCCGAGCCGCCATCGTCCTGCTTGGGGGTGACAGAGTCGCCGCGCTCCGCGCCGAAAGGGTAGAAGTCGGCGAGGGCCACCGCGCCGCGAACCCCGCGCGCCCCTAGCCCCAGGACCGAGGCCAAGAGCAGCGCCCAGGCGGCGCCGCGCTGCATCGCCGAGGATCGGCGGCCGGGACGCAGCGGAGCACAGCGGGGCCGGAGCGGGGGCGCAGCGAGGACAGCGCGGGGACAGCGCGGGGACGCAGCAGGGACGCAGCGGGGCCGGAGCGGGGACGCAGCGGGGACAGCACGGGGGCGCAGCGGGGACCGCGCGGCGACAGAGCGGGGACTCAGCGGGGACAGCGCGGGGGCGCAGCGGGGACGCAGCGGGGACGCAGCGGGGACCGACGGCTTGGCAGCTCGTGCGGGGCCGGAGCCAGCGGGGCCGGGCGGGGTGCGAGGAGCGCGGCGCGCAGTCGGTGGGGTTCCGCGCGCTCGGCGGATCTGCGCTCGGGTCGGGGCTCTGCGAAGGAAGGAGCGGTGCTGGACCGCTCTCAGGGCCGGCCCCGCCCCAGGGGCCGCGATTTAAATATCCAGCCGGGCGGTCACCGGACCTGGGCGGGGACTGGGCGGGGTCATGCAAATAACACCGCTCTTAAAGCGCCAGGCCTCTGGGAGGGCGGGGCGCTCGCGACGCGCCCGGCTGAGCCAGCGCTGGCTTTGAGGCGCAGCTCTCTGGTCCTCGGGCTTTGCCGAGGTGAGAGATTCGCGGACCAGCGTCCTTGGCGGGGATCATCCTCCTCCTCCGTAGGTCCCCAGTCGCCAGGCTAGGGCGGACCCAATGGAAGCACCTTGCCCACACAGCAATTCTGAGACACACCCTAAGTCCTACCTGAGATGTTGGGTCTGGGTCTCTGTCCTGCTAGGGGACCCTGTCACCCCCTGAAGACAGTGGTCAGTTGGGGCCACTCCGGCTTAACAGTGCCTGGATACCCTTGTGGAAGTGGCCAGAGGTCAGCCCCCTGCAGCCCCCAAACTCTGGGCCTGTGGACACTTACTTGCTCCTGGCCCTGGAGGTGAGGTTTCCCTCTGTTTTTGTGAGGGCGCCTGGCCTGGGGGACTTCAGGGCATTAGACAAGGTGTTTGTGCCCTGCACAGCCACATCAGGAGAAATTCCTGGGGAGGTTTCCCAACTGGTTCAGGATCCTAAGGGAACCTCACAGCAAGAGACTCTTCAGCAGACTCCTGGGTTTAGTGGCTGTCAGTGGGGAAGACAGGTCCATGTGGGCCTGGGGGCAAGTGGATAGATGCTCCTGGGCTTGGTGGATGGAGCCCACAACCCAGATTCCGTGTCCCAAGTTCGTGGCCATACCAGCTCTTCTGCCCCTGGAACCACTGACCTCACACCTTGTTCTGAATGTTTGTCCCTCCTCAGGCTCAGTGCAGGGCCCTCTCCCATCCTCCCTGCCCTCAGAATCTGGCGTTGGGGGATGTATGACTGTGATCCAAGCCCGGAGCCCCTGAAGACAACGGGGCGCCCACCAAGGATAAGTGGAAAGAGCCAGCACTACCACTGAGTTTCTGGGAGCTTTTATGTCTGGCTCTGTATTTTTCTGTGTGTCCTAGAATGTCTTCAGTGAGCTACTGTTGTTTTGCAGTTAGCCAGGAACATTAGTGTGACTTTGAAGAAATAGTGGACAGGTCCTCAGAGTGCGATGGTTTGACTCTGCGGGTTACAGATGTAGGATAGAATCAGGGAAGAATTTAAGGAGGCACCACCCAGAGAACAAGGTCCCCCAAAACTTCTCTCTAGTTCCACTGAGCTCGGTTGCGAGAGGGCCAGCCCTGAGGCCAGGCTCCTGCCTTGGGGATGCCCCAGGACAGCAGGACAACTGCATGCTTCCAATGAAGGATAAGAAAGATCAAGCCCTCCCATCTCTGGAGGACAAAATTCAGAAATGACATCTGATGGCCGGGGCTGTGCGGGGAACAGAATCCCAAGTTCACATGGCTCTCTGCAGTAACCCAGGGAGGAAGGGCACGTTCCTACTTGCTCATGTTCGTTTACACACACACATGCATGCACACTCTCACACACACGGACACAACACTCAAACACCCACACACCCACACTGCATCACAACTGCTCACACACACCTGCTCACACACCCAGCAGCTGCCCACCTGCCCACCGGCGCCTCTCCTGCTCCCCCTCCTGAGCACACGCGTCCAGGGAACCTAGTCAAGGCCCATTTCTGGGCTAGATTTGGGGGGAGCAGGACTGTCCCAGAGTCCAGCATACCCATGGGCATATAGTTCCCACTAGATGCGTCCAGAAAAGGACTGTTTCTCCAGACATGGTGGGAGTGGTTGCCCTAGACAGGGGGTCCCAACCAGGCCATACAAGCATGTCCCCTGGGTGGTTTGGTGAGGCCATGCTTAGGCCTGGGCCCCACCCCAGAGAGCAGGTGCCTGTGGGTCCAGGTCGGAGCCAGCCACAGGCAGACCCTTGGCTTGTGGTCCCCAATGAGGTCTTATCTACTGGGGCCCGTGCCTGGCTGTCTGGGCCAATTTGTACCTGGTCTGGGAGATGGGGGGTTAACATGAGGCCCCACCACTGCTGGGCAGTACATTAAAAAAAAAAACAAACCCAAAACAACCAAAACCCAAAACAAAACGAATTCCCCCCCACCGCCCCAACAACTCCACAGGCAAAAAAAAGGGAAAAAAAATTTTTTTTCAGGTGCTAAAAATATTATCAGGAAATACTTTTCAGCAATGTGCTGTTTTAGGTTCCCCTCTGGACTCAAGGGCGCCTTTGTCTCTGCCACAGAAAGTCCACATTTATCAAAACCAAAGTCGTTTTTATCAAGCAGGCTCATGTTCCTGCGGCCAGGAAATCTGAGCCTCCCCAACAGGCCTGTGACAGCTTAGTTCAGGGCCTGGGTATGTGTGCAATTTCGATGGGGGAGCCCCCAAGCCGACCCCGGGATACCCCAGGACTTGGGGCTCCATACAGGGCAAGGTAGGGAGTGTCCTTCCCCACAATGCACCTGGTGGGTTCCCTGCAGGGCTGGGGTCAGGGACCCTGGGCGGGGCTGCATGTGGGGCGGGGCTGCGCGTCCCACAGCTCCCTCTTAGGGGTCCCCAGACCTATGTGAAACAAGAAACACCTAACCCTAACCCCAGGTAACCCCCGTCCCCACCAGCTCCGGGAACAATGCTAGGAAGTTCTAGGGCCATTGGGTCCAGCTCTCGTGGAAGCCCACCCAGCCTGGTTATTACACGGTGAGGCTGGATGGGGTCTTGGCACAGCTGGTCCACTGAGGCAGAGACGGGCACTTCTGGCTCAGGGTGACAGCATTCCTCACACGAAGGGACTGTCCTTGAGTCCTGGGCCCACTCGGCTTCTGCCCTAACGTGCGGCAAGGAAGCACGGCCTCCAGGGAGCCCCCACGCAGCTGGACACCCACAATGGGATGGCTGCTATTGGTCTTAGGGAAATGACCAGAACAGGCTTCCACATTTACTCTCTGGGATGTTCACTGCTGCTTCATTTGGTCAAACAACAGAGAGGAATTAGAAACACTTTGAGCCAGAGAATCAGCAGGGACATGCAAAAAATGGTTACAGGTGGGCTCAGGTTGGGGCTCTGTCTTCCTTTCGGGTGATGAGAGACCGCTGGGTGCGGGTAAGTGCCAGGCAGCCTCACCCTCCTGCCCCTGGCGCAGGGGCGAAGCCTCCACTTCCGGACTGTGCTGTAGCCTCCAGTGACAGCCGCCACAGGAGGGCTCTTGTGGGGCCCAGGGACTGGCTTTTTGGTGGGAGGTTCAGCAGCTGGTGAAATCATGCTTCGGTGGCATTTTTAATGGTGTGGGACAAAGCTCAGAGTAAAACGTTGACTACGAGTTTTTAGAAAGAGTATCCGTTGCAGCGCTACCGTGTCTTTGGCCCCCCCAGCCACCGGCCTGTACATGTGCCAGGAGAAAGAACTGCTCAGATTTTAGGATCTGCACTGATGGCTTATGGGTGGTGGTTTTCTTATTATATGTTTTTTGTAAAATTTTTATTTGCGGGGCGCCCGGGTGGCTCACTTGGTTGGGCCTTCTCCTCAGGTCATGATTTCAGGGTCCTGGGATCAGCCCCATATTGAGCTCCCTGCTCAGTAGGGGGGGGGCCTGCTTCTCCCTCTGCCACGTCCTGTGCGTGTGTTTTCTCACACTCTCTCTGACAAATAAATAAAATCTTCAAAAAAAATTTTTATTTGCAGTTATTTAAAAAATATGAATGTTTTAGAAGCCCGAATATCAGTGACCCTGATTCCAGCTGGCCTCCTTGGTCCTGTGGCCCATTTCCTGCTCCAGCTGTGGCGGGAGGCTCTGTCTCCCTGAAAGGCCAGGGCGCTTCTGGGGGCCGGGGTTTGTCTCCTCAGAGTGCCCCTTCACCCTCTCCTGCCTGGTCTGCACCATGGGAATCACGGCCTTCCTTGGGCCCCCAGAGTGGCGCTTTCTCTGTGGCTCTCCGGCTCCCCCCACTCCTTTTGCCCTCACCATGCTGTGGGCACTGGGCCTGTTCGCTGACTCCTGGGAAGGCTGTTGCCCCAGATGCCTGGCGGTGGCCCCTGTGAGAGCTACGGCGTGCTAGTGCCGCCCCCTACTGCCGAGAGCTCTTGATGGTGCCATCTGGGCCATACTTCACAGAGGATTCCCCATGCCGCTGTGGGGTGGAGTTGCCCCATTTGATGGGACTGAGGCCAGAGAGCCCATCCAGGATCACATAGCTGCAGGGGGTGGAGCTAGGGTTGGTCCAGGGCTGATGACCCCCAGACGGATACTGGGGCTGCCGGGCTCTTCCAGGCTGGAGGCCTCCACACACCTCGGCCAAGGAAGAAGCTGGGAGCCTTTCCCCTCAGCATCCAGGGAGGGCATGGGCAGCCATCCAGCCCTGGCCCCCGTGCGCTCAGCCTGACCCTGCCCCCTGCCCCAGGACCTCACCTCCAGGAGGGTGGGGTGGGTGGTACGTGTGAGGACAGGAGGAGGCCCAGCCAGGCTCCAGCACCCCAGGCACTGGGCCTCACCTTGCTTGGTGTCCCCAGCCCATCTCTGTCCTCCAGCAACAGGACGCTGGGCCTGCAGCCTCACTGGCCACATGGGTGTGGGGCCTCTGGGCATCACCTGACCTCTTGCTGACTGTCCTGTGGCCTTGGTCCAGAAGCAAGGCCTTGTGGAGTCCCCGTCTCCTCATGTGTCAACAGGTGCCCCAGGGAGATGCTGGGGGAACAGAGCCTGGTTCCTGGTTCCATGGGAATTGTCAGTGTCCTACTACTGGGAGGCTTAAGAAAACACCAATTTACTTCCATTAGGAAAATCTTTTTTTCCCCAAGTATATGACTTTATGTTGAATAAATAGAAACAGCATCTCTTACATGGATCGAACTATTCATTAAAATATGCAGGTCTCGGAGGTCTCACAGGTGCTTTAAACATCCCTCCTGTGCATGTGGGGAGAGCATGGACTTCGCCAGAGAATGCCGGTCGGGTTATGGGGAGCTTTCATTTTATTTATTTTTAATTTTTTAAAAAACATTTTATTTATTTATTTGACAGAGACACAGTGAGAGAGGGAATACAAGCAGGGGGAGTGGGAGAGGGAGAAGCAGGCTCCGTGCCGAGCAGGGAGCCCGATGTGGCTCATCCCATGACCCCGGGATCACAACCTAAGCAGAAGGCAGATGCCCAACGACTGAGCCCCCAGGTGCCCCAAGGGAGGCCTCCGTTTTAATACCGGGGAGCCACCCTGACCCGTCTAGTGTCTGCAATGCACCTCCCTCTCACCCAGGAGCATCTTTGTAGCTCTTCTGGGCTGGGAGCTACGGTCCAGAGGGACGACCCATGTGACAGCTGTGGGTGCCACAGGCAGGCTGAGAGGAAAGTGCCTCCACACACCCCCATCTCCAGCCTCTTGTCCCTTCCTCACACCCCCATCCCTTGGGTCCTTCTGCTGGGGGTGGGGGTTTGGGGGTCCATCTGCTACCTGAGGGCCACCTCTTCCCTCTCATGGCCCCACTCTTGCCCATTCTGCAGAACACTCTCCAGCAGTCAGTGTGCGGCCACCTGCTCCCCTCCCCTGCCTGTGATCCACCCTGATGGGCGAGTATCACGCACAGATACCTGCGCTAAAACCTTCTTTGCCCACAGTGGCCATTGTTAATTGTCACCTAGCTCCTCCCCTCTGAGCCTGAGCTGAACTTTAGAATCCTTTTCAACCCAATCCCCAAAAATCGGGCAGAGCAGAGGGCAGACTGAAGCCCGTTGCCGATCTCCCTCCAGCCACTGCTTTTGTACACTTCATGCCCCGTGGTAACTCCATCCCTGTGTTCACGCAGAAAGCAAAGCCTGACCGGCAGCCTGCTTTAAGCCTGGGGTCAACCCGGCAACAGATAGCTGGCGATGGCCCATCTGGGCCACGGCTACAAGGCCCGAACTCCCTTGGCTGTGCCCATGCCCCGGAGGGCAGCCAGCACCTGTGGCTGCAGACCCTGCTGCCCAGCCGTGGCCCCACACCCTCTATGCAAGAGGCCACTGGGACCAGTGTGAATGGGGGCAATGAGTGAAAATGCCAACAGGCCACTCCGCAGAGGCTCAAGATGGCTGCCTCGTTATGTTCTCCCAGCAAGTCGGGCTGGGTTCCTGCAGGAATTTTCCCAGAGTTTATAGGCTGAAAAAGTGGGAGGCTCTGTAACAGCCTGAACTCTCACAGGCTGGGGCTTCTTGTGGCCCGTGAGTCACGGGGACCGGTTTCTGAGTCATTTCCAGCCACCTGCCGCTGGGACGGGCCTGCAGTTCCTGGATACAGAAGGTCCCGTGGCCTCTGGACGTGGGGAAGTGGTGGCTGGGCCTCGCAGGACATTATGTTTTTGGCTCCAGTTGGTGGAAATACTTTCCATGTGTTTCCCCGTGTTTATAGAGCCAAGGGCACGGAATGCAGCCTACGGCCACGGAAGCCGGCCTGCCGGGGCCTGGCTCCCAGGGTTGGCCCAGACCAATGTGTCCGAGTGGAAGCAGGGCCAGTCAGGTGTGGGCTATGGTGGCTCCCTGCGGCGGAGGACTGTCCTGGAGCACAGTGTCCTGCGGGCCGGGAGGAGCGCTATGCTGGGGGAGCGGCAGAGCGCTGGTGACACAGGCCCCCTGGGGCCGGAGTGGTGGGCTCGGGCTGGGGCTGCCCGCACCACACTCTGTGAACAGCGCGAGGCCCCGGTTTTCCTGCCGGGGGCCTCGCGGGCCCTGACTGCTCACGGCTGTGATGGGCAGGCTGCCTGGGGCCATTCTGCAGCCGGGCTCACTTTCTGGCCCTGGTGGCCTGGCTGAGGCGGGCTTGTTGACGACGAGGCACCTCCTGGTCCAGCTGCTTCTTTGGACTGGCCACCTGGGGGCGGGGCAGGAACTCAGGTTGGGGGGCAGGTCCCGCTGGCAGGGCCCCCAAGCACGGGGTTGTGCGGAGCTCTGTGGCTCCTGAGGAGAGGAGCCGTATGTGGGAGAGAAACATTGGATGGTGGACAGGCTCACCAGCTGCTAGACAGGGACAACGCCCACGTGTGTGGGTCCTCAGGACAGAGGCATTTGTGTGCAGTGGACAAAACCCCTTCCCTTCAGGCCATGAAAGCACTCAGGATGATAAGGAAATTCATGCTCCTTGGCTTCTTGGTTTGGGGCATGGGCTTGTGGGTTCGGGACACTAATTTGGGGGCGACACTGGGTATCACTTTACTTTTCTGGGTCTCAGTTCCCTCAGGTGTCAAATGAGGGTTTTGACCCCATGGCTCTGAGGTCTCTGACGGCTCAGAGCCCAAGGGTCAGCTCCAGCAGGTGCGTGTGGGGGGTTGGGGGGACAGAGCAGGTCCATGCCCAAGGCCACATACACCACTGTTCTTGCCTCCTGACTCTGACCTCTGATCCAGGAACTGTCACCACTACTCGCCTTAAGGGCACAGAGAGGGTGGTGACCTGTCCCGGGATCCTCGCTCTGGCCCTCACTTGGTGAGCCGTGGGAGTGACAGGATGGAAGGGTGAGAGTCCCAGGGTTGGTTGGATCCCCCAGCGGTGGTTTGGGATCCTGCTGCTGGAGGGCCTTCGGCCAGGGATGCTGGTCCGTCTGCACCCCTCTCTCCACCTGGACACGGAGGTCTGGGCCCATGTGCTCCTCCAGGCCTGTCACTGGCCGTGGGTGGGTGGGGTCCCGGCACCACAGGGCCTATGTAGGCTGCAGCCAGACCCCGGGACGTGGCTCGGCCTCCGGGGCCAGGTCTTGCTGCTGCTGGGCTGCCAGCTCCCAGAGCCGTGGGGCTCAGACTGGTTCCCTCTCTGCTCTCTGGATCTGCTGCCCTCCTACCTGCGTGTTGCTCGGAGTCTTCCTGGGCAGGTGTCCTGCCTTCCCCTTGGGGCTGCTAGTCCTTCCTCCAGCCCCCAGCTGGCTGCACGACCGTCTGCAGGGCACAGGCCCCAACCTGGCACTGGCAAGCAGGTCTAGAGGTGAGCACATGTTCACACTGCGGTGTTTTAATGGCATCCTAGTTTCTGCCTGGCTGGACCGGGGGTTCCTGCTGGTGTCACAGGCTGACTCTCGCCCCTTGCTCCTCTTGCCAAGTCATTGTGCAGAGGGAGGGGTCTGCCCAGCAGGGGCAGATGCCCCCAGCATGCAGAGGGGCAGCCCTGGGACTTGCCCACAGGCCTGCCTGACCCTGTGTTTCACGTGCTCTTCTGGTCCATGCCTGGCTCACGAGGTCCCCCGACCATGCCACCAATCCCATAGGGCCTTGGAGAGAAGACCAGGAGGGGTCACTTGAGCCCCTGCTGCTGGTTCCACCTCTGCCTGACTCGAGCTGTGACCCTGGTAGACCCCACTGTCATCTGGGGCTATGTCTTCTCATCTGTGTGGTGTAGGAACGGTCCAGCCTGTCCTTCCCATCTGCATAGGCAAGTTTGTGGGGTGGTGGTGGTGGTGGTGTACAGCACCCTTCTGAGACCCAGACACTCCTGGACTCCCCATCCTCTCCCCCATCCCCAGGCTGGAGCGCAGGAAGCTCCTCTGGCCTGCTAACCTGCAGCTGCTGATTTGGCCTCAGGGCCCCGTCCCTGTCCTTCCTTGGTTGTTCCTTCTTGGCTCCTGGCCAGGCCGTGTCCCCTTCCTTCCTCAGCGTCTCCTGCTCCATCTGCAAGAGCCCAGACAGCAGAGCTTGCGGTGGCCTCCTGGCAGGTGGGTGGGGTCAGGCCAGCCTTCACTGTGGGGAGAACATACAGGGCTCTGAAAAGGGCTCTGTGTCCCCTGAGAGCAGGCTGGGGAGGGGGAAGGTCCTGCACCGGGAAGAGGGCTGAAGAAGGAGAACAGGGTGGCCTCCTGAGCCTGGCAAGGTGCAGGGCCCCTCCCAGCATCCCCTGCCCCATGGAGCCTCAGTCCCCTGCACTCAGGTGCCCCCAGCCAGCTCCCAGGCCCTGGACACTCACTGATCCCGTCCCAGCAAGCCTGTGTGCCCACCATCTGTCTTCCCTGGAGGTGCAGTTTGCCCACGCAGAACCCCCTCTTGGTGAACCTCCCCCCACGCCAGGCCCAGGGCCCCGGGGTTAAATAACATGTGATGGAGGAGGCAGACACTTCCAACGGGAAGGCTGGTAGGGGTCCTTTCGTCTGTTGCAGGTGATCCTCATGGAGGAAGGAACTGCCGCCCCAGGTCATGCCTTGTGGGTGCCTGACATGGACGGTCTCGTCCCCAGAAGTCCCTGGGTGGGCAAAAGGCCAGTCCGCAGCTGGGGTAGGATCAGAGCCCAGGGCCTGCTCTCTGAACCAGACCCCCTTCACTACCCTGCTATATCCGCCCTGTGGGTCCCTGTGCCGGGTGGGGGTGGGGTGTCTCCAAGGGCCTCCAGGCTGGCCCTCCCTTCTGTGTCCTCCTGGCCCACGCCTCTGCCCTCGGGGCTGGTCCCGAAGAGCCCGGGAGACCTGGTGGCCTGGCCCACCAGGAAAGTTTGCGGTCAGTGATAGGAGGGTAGCGTCACAAAAATAAGGACTCCTTTCTTCTTCAGCGGTCAGAAAAACAAAGAGTCCACTTCCACTGAAAGAGGAAGTCCTGTTTCTTTAAAAATCCAGCTACGCTCCTGGAATCGTATGTTAAAAAGAGAAAAGTGAAATCCAAAATAAATAAACGGCCACATCCGGGTTTCCCCTCCTGAGACACCAATAAAGGGTTTATGGGTTTGGGGGCCCCTCACAGCTGACCTCCTGGAACTCATTAGCTGTTCCTCCCCTCCCCGACCTGGGCTGCGGGGGCCCCCCAGCTGGCTCTGGTGCCCTGGGCAATACCACTGTGGCCAGGCCACTGCTCCCAGCAAAGGCCACGGAGGCTCCTTCAGCCCAGCGGCTCAGCGGCTGGCCCGCCCTCCAGGACAAGCAGGATTCCTGGGACCGCAGGGGCTGGCCAACCTTCATTCCTGGGAGGGCAGGTGGCTCTGCAGGGACAGGCTGGCCAGCGGCTTCCAGTGACTGTCCTGACCTGTAGGCCTCCGGGCCCGCATCCTGCCCCTGATCCCGTTCCCAGGGCATTTGGCCCCACTGCCACCCCACTGAGCTGAGCACATGTCCCGCTTGTCCCCAAGTCCATGTCAGCTGGACAGCGTGTGTCCGGTGGCCAGGGCCTGCCCCAGGAGAGATGTTCATGCGTGCCTGGGAACACACGGAGGGGCCGACACTCTCCTGGCCGTTCTGGGCCCACAGTGCCCTCGCCTGGTGGGGCGTGCTCTCCTGTGGGGCGTGTTGCTCAGTGCTTGCTGGAGAGCTGCCAGAGACCAGGGCTGGAGACTGCATTGGGCCTGGGCTGGCCTTTGAAGGCAGCTGTCATTCTCACAGGGACTTGGCTGCTCCTCACTCGAGAAGCAGCCCTGTCTCCTGACCCTGCTGTGGCTGATGGCCTGTCTTTCACTCCTCAGTGGTGTCCACGCCTTTTGCTGTATCCTCTGTCCTCCAAAGTCTGCGAGCTTGGGACCCCCAGCACCTGTCATTCATTCCATGGGCTACCACTCGGTGTGGTGAGGCCACGCCATCCCCCGGCCCAGATGAGAGTGCCTCGCATAAAGCTGGTCTATGCAGGCCTTGGTGAGCAGAGGAAGCAGTGGCCAGCTCGGGGACCTCCCGGTTCCCAGGGGGCCTCTGAGAGACGGTGGCCAGACGCTGCTGCCCGGAGCAGCCATGAGCGAGGAACGCCCTCCCTTCTGGGTCTGGTTCTCTCTACGCAGGTGAGCCCACATTGGCACAGCTCCCCCACACCTTTGCCGGGGCCAGCGCCACGGAACACTGCAGACACTGCCTGTGTGCAGCCAGCAGTGCCGCTCCCTGTGCCCCTCCTTTGTGCCCGCTCGTAGGGACAGGCGATGAGGGTCTCTGCCCAGATGCAGCCCAGACATGGTCCCTGAGGCCCCTGGTCATGGTCTGGGTGGTGTCCAGGGCAGCAGGACACGTGTGTATCCTCATCTCAGCGAAGCCTTGGGAAGGCCACCCTACTCTGGGGACCGCTGCCGAGGCCCTCAGCCACTCCTGATACTGGGACTACTGCTTTCCCACCTTGTGGATGGGGTCACTGAGAGCCTCAGGCCCCAGGTCATCAGTCCAGCAAAGGCTGTCCCCAATAGGCAACCCCAATAGGCCCTCCCCTATTTCCTCCATATTCCCCGCTCTAGTCCTCGTCCTGCCTGTCTCTGGAGTGGGCTTTGAGGACGTCAGAATCCCAGGGCCCACAACATGGCTGGCGCCCTCCGTGGCAGGCAGCAGAGCTGGCTGATCTCACACTCACATCCCTGTTACTGTTTCTGGGGGGCTGAGGCAGCCCTTCCAGGACAAGGGAGCTGCCCCTTGGACAACAGGAACGCCATTTCCTTTCTCTCGGCACCAGGAAAGTGCTCTGGCAAACTCCACCTCCAATTTCAACCCGAATGGCTTCGCTTTGGCCTGTTTCGTACATGGAGACCAGATCCATTCACAGCTGGGGACAGTGTGGCTGTCAGAATCCCTGGCCAGTGGGCCCCTGGGATGGGCCCAGCCCCTCAGCCTCGCTGCTGTTCCCTTTCTTGCTGCAGGACTGGGGGCCTCTGGTCGCCCTGCCCTACCTTGCCCCGTGTGGAGACTGCTGGGATGGCAAGACCGGCGTCCCCCCTTCACCACGGGTGCGTACCTCACCAGTTGCCCTGGTGCAGTCGGTGGGGCCCTGACCGGGGGCCATTTCCAACATGGACAGCAGAACCCTGGGCTCCAGGGGTCTGCAGTGAGCCGGGCCACAAGGCTCCCCGCAGGGCTCTGGCTCAGATACTGGCATAAACCCGGGGCCATTTGCTATGACCTGTGGTGCCTCCCCAAAGAGAGCAGAAGTAGCCGGGGTGTCACCAACAGGGAGGGGAGTGTTGTGGGTCACCCTCCAGCGCCAAGGCGGCCCTGAGCTTGGAGAAGGGTGGCCGGGTGTAGAGCGGGCGCTTTTCTCAGCACCAGGTGCCGGTGCAGCGCCTCCCGCAGCCTGCGGCGGCCGGGAACCCCCTACCGGACGCCCCTTTCCCCGCCCCCTGGAGCCGCAGGCCCGCCCACCAGCCCCTTGCCCGCGCGCAGCCCCGCGAGCTCCCCCTGCAGGCGGGCCGGCTCTTGCGCGGCGTCTGCTCCCGCGGGGCGCGCCTCCCTGTGCGCTGCGCCGCGCAACCCGCTCTCTCGCCTCTGGCTGCGGCTGCTGAGAGCCTGGGCCCGGCCTCCAGGCTCCACTGATGTCTCCCCCTGAGCTGCACGTCCACAATCATCCCTCTGTCGTAGGGGCGCTTACTGTGAGCAGGTCTCGGGCCTCTGACCCCTCCCACCTCAGTTTCCGCGTGGTCTGGAGGTTGATGGTTGTCTGGGCGGCTCTGGGTGTGAACACCTGCCTCAGGCATCTCCCAGAGCCTCCCTTCAGGCCCCCTAGGCGGATGATTGCCTAAAGGGAATGCCCTGCCCTCTGGGGTCACTCACCTGTGGCAAGGGCTCCCTCGTGCCCCCTGCCTCCGGGCATCTGCGCTCCAGGCAGGTGACCTGCTCTTCCAGCAGCTTCCCTCTCTGGGCCAGGCCCTGGCCGTGACTTTTGCTCTCATCCAGGGCCCTGTGCAGGACGTCCAGTTGCTCCTAGGGAGAGGAAGGCATAGGGTCTCCTGGAAACATGGCTCCCTAGGAAGGAGAAGCCCAGGGCGTCTGCTTGGGCCGCAGGTCACTGGGAAGAGGCAAGAACAGGTCAAGTACAACGTGCACCCATCAGGTAGTTTAGGACAGAACTGCGGTGGGGAGGGGGCCGGGGTGCAGGACTTGCTGCGAGGCTCCACTTGGCAGGTCCTCTGCTGCCGTCAGAGTGGCCTCAGAGGACACACCTGGCATCCCCCACCCCCTGCTTCCAGCCCTTGGAATGAACGTGATAGTCCCCCTGAGCTCATGGAGACTGTGGTGCTCAGCCCCCCTACCCCACTTTCCCCACCTTCTGCCTCTACCAGCACCTGTTCCCCTCCCTCCGCCCTTCCAACCCTCCTCAGGAGTGCCGGCCCAGGACACCTACCCCTGCCCCACAGACACCAATAGCCAGGCCCCTGGGATGGCCACAGCTCCTTCTCCTCTATCCACAGCACTTGTCCCAAATGCTGGCATGACTGTGGCCCTGCTCCTGGAGGAGGCGGTTTCAGAGGAAGGAGGGGGCGACCCCCTGGCGGACCTCATGGGTGACCCCTCGGGCGACCCCATGGGCAGAGCTGGATGTACTTCCTTTGGTCTCATGCTGTAGTACTTTAGAAAATGGACAGTGGGGAGGCCAGTGCTTACGCCTAAAATGGCAGGGTTTCACCCTTCCCTGCGAGTTTGGAAACTACCATTTTCTGTCTGTGCACATTTCTAGGAGAAAAGCAGAGGTTTCCTTCAAATATGGCTTAAATATTTCATGGTATTTTAAAGAGGTCCAAACCACTTATGTGAAGCATTGTGCTCCTCTTGTAATGACTCAGCTGTTACGGAATCCAAATTAGCCATTATAATTGAACGGGGAAACCCTTCATGCACATTGCCCGCTGCGCCACGAGTTCTCCTTCCTCCCGTGGCTTGGGTTCCGAGTCCTGGTGCTGCTTGAGATGTGGGTTAGGCCAGTGCGCCTGCACACCCAGGTGCAGTCTGAGGGTTCAAGTAGCCACAGGAAAGCGGGAACTGCAGCCCCACACAGGTCCTGCCCTCTGGGGGCCCTCGGGCCAGTCCCAGGAGAGCCTGGTGCCAGGCAGCGCTCAGATGTAAGGGGGACTTGGTTCCTCGGACTCTGGGCTCCTCCCCGTCTGCCTGCTGGTTTGTCCATCCTGGTGTAAACCCCTCCTGCTTTGACAATTCCAGCCTTATCACCAGCTTTACTGTTGTTTTTCAAAATTTCCATTAAAAATATCAAATGCCTATTCTTCTCCGTACACTTTGTAATCATCGTGCCCTGTTTCCCTCCAAACATACCATTAAAAGAAAAAAAAAGACAAAACCAAACCAACAGAGCAAAGAACCAACAAACAACCTACAAATCAGGAACATACATACAGATCCAGCCAGAAGCTGATTGAAAGACCTTAACTGCCTCAGAGCCTCACACTCTCCCCAGTAAGATCTGTTGCAGCAGCAGGAAGAGGCACACACGTCATCATTCTTTTAAATAACCCTTGCACTAAGAAGTAAAAATGAAAACTCCTAGAAAACTGGTAAAAAGAAAAAGCATTCACACCAGAAATCCGTGGCATGCCCACCACGCCACAGGTGGGGAAAATGGGATAACACGGAATGCTCTGCCGAGAGACAAAGCCCACACATAAACCCATCACCTACTCGTTTTAAGAAAGGAGAGAGATCACAACACTATTAATAGAAGCCACAATGAATCACTGTAAGTAAAAATGAGAGGAGAGATAAAGCTGATTCTTTGAAAAGACCAATAAAACAGACAAACGGCTGGTGGGTAGAATTAAGAGAAACAAACCGGAATCTCCAACAGCACGAAACAGATGTGGCCACAGATACAAGTACAGCAGAACCTCGGGTGTCCAACAGTTCCAGCTCCAGGTAGGACTCGATATGAACAAAATGTGGAATAGACAACACACGCGGGGCCTCGGCGGTGCAGTTGAAAATAGGAGCTGGAGGCCCTCAGATGGTAAATTTCGGAGCATGCGGGGGCGGAGTGACTTCGGGCAAGGGGACTGGAGGAGCAGGCCCATCCCACGCACACTTTCAGGGAAGCTGAGTTGGGCTGGGCAGTGACATAGGTGACAGAAAAAGGTGGAAAGCCCACCAGTTCATTGTATGAAGAGAAAATCATCGGAACACCCAAACTTGGAGAAATTGGGCACCCTGCAGGGCTCAGGGCATCACATCTGGCCAGGGGGACCCTGCCCACCTGTGTGGCCCGCCCTGCCCCATCTGTCAGCCCAGGAGCTGCTGGAACTGGATGGATGCTCGGTTGGGCCCCGGGACCAGGATTCTGGAGAAAAGGGGAGACGTGAGCAGATCGCAGGGTGGCTCTGGACAGTTTCAGTGGCACTAGTGCCACGAGGACCCCGAGAGCCCCTCTTTCCTGGGAAGCTGTGACCCGCCTCTGACGGGGGTGGGACCCCACTGGTCGCCTCTCCCAGGGGTGTCCGTGTCCCCCACCACACTTGCTTGGAGGCCGCCAGCTGCCTGCAGGACCCTCGCGTGGGGGTGTGGGGCGTGTGTCCTGATGCTCTGGGCCCGGCTCTGCATGGTTGATCTGTTGAATTCCCAGGGTAGCCCTGGAAACAGGGAGGGATTTGCTCTCAAACAAGAATCTTACTGTTTGCATAGCACAGCCTACCATTTAATTAGAAAAATATGTTTTTAATTAACTTTCTCTTAACAAACACATTGGCTCATGTGAAACAGGGGAGAACCCAGTCCATGAAAGTGAAAGCAGTCATATTTGATGCAGAAAGTGAAAGCAGTCATGTTGGATGCTCTAACCCACGCTGGCAGCCCGGCCACCTGAGTGGCAGAGGGTGGCGGGGGTAGGGAGTATGGCCACGGGCCGGAGCCCTGCTTGGATCTGCTGTTTGTCAAAAGGGCCTGGGGCCTCTGGGCCTCCGGTGGGTCTGAATTCCCCTCCCACGTGCCCACCTCAACTACCCGCAGGTTACAAAAGTTGGAAAAAGCTTCCTTAGGGTTGGAGAGCAGAGACTTTGGAGGCAGATGGAATGAAGTGGCCTAAAAATAGGAGAATTACCAGAATTCTAGGAACAACTTGACACGATGCTGGTAGATTTTAGCACCTACACGTCACTGAAAAATGGAGTAAATCCTTAAGGAGAAAAATCCACACGGATAGAGAAGATCTGAACAACATCCAAGCCATCTGCATCCATGTGAGGAAGCCTCACAGGGAAACCTGCCAGAACCCCAGGGACGCTGACACAGAGAGAGCCCAGGCTGCAGGGGAGACCTCAAGGCCTCCAGTCCCCTTGGCAGGCAAGTGCTGGGGGGAGGAACCCAGGACACCCCCCAGCACAGCCAGCTGTGCCCCTGAGAACGGGGCCTTCACCTCCCAGTCCCTGGAGTGGGAAAGTTCTGTAATCTCTCTGTGCTGCCTCCTCCTCGGTCCTGCCAGCTCCCCATGGACCCCACAGCCCCCGGGGCTCCCCTTTCTGTCTTTTACTGTCAGCCTGAAATATCTGGACAGGGACATGTGAAGTCCCGGGTGGGTCCTCCCCACTCCTGACTTGGAACAAGACCAGATACCCTTCTTTGAAGCCACGCAGAAGAAAAACATCTCGACAGTAGCAACCAACTGTGGCTCAAGAGACAAGTCAATCTGAGGGAGCGAATCTGAGGGTCTTGAATGAAAAGAGAATGGAGTTAATGCAAGAAATGGGAACAGGTGTCTGAAGATGTGTACCGACTGCCTCAAGAAGGGGATGCCACGGTGGGAGCCGGAGTGGGAACAATCGAGATGAAAAACACAACGACCGACCCAGGGCGATGAGGACAGAGATTGGATAAGACACGGCAGTCAGATCGGCTAACCTGGGTGAAGACCGTGAGTTCTCAGGGACATGGGTGGGGGGTCAGGGACAAGAAGGTGACAGCAGCAAAAGGGCAAGGCCCAGAGAGCAGGGTTGGGCTGCAGGGAATTTTGGGACAAAAGAATGGTGAGGGGGAGAAGAGATGTTTTTTAAGTGGAAATCACATGCCTCAGCTGAAGACAGATTTTGATTTTGCAGAGAGCTCCACAGGCCCAGGCTCAAACAACAGAGGGAGCAAGTCAATGTTTTGGCACATTTTTGAATTTCAGAGATAAACGGGCCTTCTGGTTCCCACTCTGGAGGGAACAGTTCAAACAGCCCCCAACACACTTACCTTCCTTGAACCCATCTGAGAATGAGGTCATAGTGCAAACACTGGATGAAATCCAAGTAGACTCAGGCCCTCCCAGAGAGCTGGGCTGCGAGCTCACTCACCCACGTCCCCTGCACAGGCGACAAGCCCACGGACTTGGGGCACTGACTGCCGATGCCTGGTGTCATGGGCAGAGCTCCCGCACCGCCTGGATCTGCGGCCCCCAGATCACCTGTGAGCACGTTACGTCACGTCGCAGATGTGATCATCCAGGTGGGCCTGACTGACCCCAGGAGCCCCGCAGGCTGGTGGCAGGGGGCAGCAGTGGGGTTCGGGTGTGAGGGTCTTGCGGCCATTGCCGTGTTTTGAGAGCCCCTAAGAAGGCCCAGGCCCGGGGCCAGAGATGCCTCCAGAAGCCACTCTGTCCTCAGATTGGGGGAAGGCTGCCAGGAGCCTGTGGGGGCTTCTGCCAAGAGCCTCAGGTGAGGGCGCAGCCTGGCCCATCCCGGGATGTGGAGTCCTGCCGGCAGGGCCTTCTGGCCTGCAGGACTGGGAGCCATAGATGGGTGCGCCCTCCGTCTGTGGTAATGGCTGTGGAGCGGGCAAAAGGCATACATGGTTGGGCTGCTGTGAGTAGAAAGCCTTTGGGGTCTGCGGAGGGCAGGGGGTTCAGGTTCAGGGCAGGCCCTTCATGGACCCCCACTGGGCACCTAGAAGGAAGGTGGAGGCGGGCAGTCTGGAGCAGGACAGGGCCCCTGCAGAGAGATAGTCTCCGTAATCCTCCAGGCACAGGTGCAGAAGCCTAGCAGCTGGGGGGAGGGCTGCCAGAAGGGGTCCCCCTGCCCAGCACAGGGCAGCATCTGTTGTCATGCGTACTGTTGTAACACTCCCCCACCACCACGAAAGGCCAAGGGGAGCAAATAACCCTAAGATAAAGGGATGGAATGGAAGTCATGAGGAAGCATTAAATCAGCAAGCAGTCAGAGAGAACCAGAGTGTGGAAATTACTGCAAAACTTGTAAGTGGGGTAAATTCCCTTGGAAAAGGCAGAGACTCCATCCAGAGGGGCTCAGAGCCAAGGCCAGGCTGAGGAAATGACTGAAAACCTACAGGGGTGGGGAGGGCAGAGCCAGGACTCAGGGCAGGGCAGAGGAGCCCTGTGGGAGGAGGCGGGCGCAGTGGAACTCCAGGCAAACAGCATTTAGTGGCACTCGGTCCTCCAGGTGCTAAGTCCGAGTGGCCAAGAAACTTCAAATTCTGAAGAACATGCCATAGAAATCTATAAACCCAAGACTCTTAGAAATGAAAGATGTCCCCCGCCCCAACTGTAGTGGCAAAATTCAACACATCACTCCTAGCTTTGATGAACTCTGGAGACGGATCCGATGTGGAGTATCATATTTAAGATGTATTTCGAAGTGTGTAACGTGCAAACAGAAAACGTTATTTTCAAGTGTGCACAGAAGACACACATGTGAACGCAGCCTCAGCCCACCTGCTCCAGTTGCTCGGGCCCTGGCATCTCTCGGGTATCTTACCAGTCTGGCCACAAGCCCAGCCAGACCCCCGGGCCTCACCACTGCCCCTCCAAGCCCTCCCCAGCAGAGGGCCTTTGAACCTCGGGACTCCAGGTATCCTCACAGATTCCAGGCTGGGTCTCAGTCCCAGCCTCCCGAGCTCCCTGGTGCTTTCTCTGCAGGTCCACCTCTGCCCCCGTCCCTCGCCCCACAGGAGGCCCCTCCTCATGGGCTCTGGGTCCCACAGTGGACCCAGGACTCTGAGGACCACCAGGCTCTGCACCTGCTCTCTGAGCCCTCTGAGGGGCGGGCTGCCTTCAGGGCCCCAAGGGCCTTGGCCAGCCCACCACTCCCGCATACCAGCCGAGCCACCTCGCCTTCTAAGATCTGGCAGTGCCAGGTCTCTGGGTCTGTGGGGCTAAGACTGCCCGTCCTGCCCCCCAGGTCCTGTTCGGCCCCTCTCCTCTGCTGCTCCCATCAGCGTAATCTTTCCAGGGCAGGGCCAGGGACCCTGATTCCCTGAGATACATCTGGGGAGCCTGTGTTCCCTCCCCTCATGTGCTGGTCCCTGTGCCCCCGAGGGCCTCAAAGAGCTTTCTGGAAATGGCAGGCTGGAGCTTCAACCGCCCAGACCCCCTGCTCCCCAGCCTAGTCCTGTAGGGTGGGCGGGGGTCTGGTGCTCTGGCCCACTCCCAGCATTGTTTTGACTTGTGACCTTGTGTGGGGTGCAGGACTCCCCTGTCCAGCCAGACCTTCCCCACCTCCAGCCCAGCATCCTTCCTTGAAAGCAGGGGACCCAAGGCCACCTTCACAGCACAAAGCCTGTATGGGGGGACATTTACCCCAATTCATCTTATGTGACATCTTACATCTGAGTGACACAGTAAGCCTGTCCTGCAGTGTGGCATAAGTGTGACCCCACAGAAGGCTCCAAGGCTGGGCCGGTGTCACCGTAGGTCTGCCGGTGTGGCCACAGAGAGAAGGATGGGCTGGGGAAGCTGAGGGTCCGCCACGGGGGCCAAGTCTCTCCCTACCCAGGTCTACTTCCTCAGTCTGTAAAATAAGGGTAGGGACCACCTCCACAACTCTACCAGGGTAGGGACCACCTCCACAAGCTCTACCAGGGACCCTAATGAGCTCTGTGGGGCCCCCATGTCCCTCGAGGCCACCTGCTCTGTCCCAGTTGTGCCTCTGCCCATAGGGACCCCCGTCCCCCAGAAGCCCTCCCAGTCTCCTCTCGCTCTCTGATCTCCCTGGCCAAGGGCCCCACCTGCAGCCTCCGCTTCTCCCAGCTGGCCGCCCGCATGCTCGCCAGGTGCTCCAGCTCCAGCCTTCCGAGCGCCTCCTCTCGCAGGGCCCGCGCCACCTGCGCACTGCTCCTCTCACGGTCCGCCTGGCGCCGAGCTGTGTGGCAGAGGCTTGCCTGGCTCCCAGGCTCTGTGGGGTGGCCACATGCGGGACTGCCCCTGCCCGTTTCACAGGCCAGGAGACTGAGGCTGGGTGAGTTTGAGTGTCTGGCACCTGGAAGGGGTTGCTGGAGAGGCCCCCCTCTGACGACTCCCGGCTCCTCCCATCTGAAGCTCAAGGATCCCTGGGGGCGGGTCTGGGGTCCTGGCTCCCTCTGCCTACTTCTCTTTCTCTCCCCCTTCTTTCCTTCCACAGACGTTCCTCCTTTGAGACTGTACTAGGCCCTGGGCCCACCTTCCAGGCAGACCTGCTAATGGGGGGGGGGGCAGAGGACAGTAATGCAGTTGGGGTGCTAGCAGGGCAGGGCACTCTCTGAGGGGACAGGGACAGGGGTCAGAGACCTGATGCGGAGATGGGCCTCATGACTGTCAGTGAAAGAGGGTCCCTCCACAGTCTGTGCAAAGGCCCTGAGGTAGGGTCTGTAAGAGGCCAGTGTGGCAGGAGGACATAGAGGCCCCGTGGGGTCTCTGGACTTTATTCCCCTGTGATGGGGAGGCTGCTGTTGAGAAAACAGCCAGCCAGCTGGCCCGTGCCAGCCACATCCCAGGGAGGCACACAGGTCTGGTGTGGCCCCCATGGCCCAAGCCTGAGCAGCTCCCAGGACTGCACACACCCAGCAGCAGGGGTGAGGCGCCCAGGAACCCCTGAGGTGGTGGTGGGCCCTGCACAGCGCTCCCTGAGGGCAGGTTGAGGGAAGGGAGCTCACCTCCCTCAGCCTCTGCCAGCGCCGTCTTCAGCTGCCCCACACGGCTCTGGGCTCGGGCGCTCTCACTCTCTGCCTTGCTCAGCTGGCCAGTCAGGCTTACCGCTTGGAAGTGCCAGTCATCCTAGGTGGAAGGACCCAGATCGGGGGGTGGCCTGGGAGGGAAGGGAGGGCTGAGGGGTCGGGTGGGAGGCTTGGGGGGTTCGGCGCGCTGATCTGGACCCCTGTGGGCATCAGAGTGACTCCCATTTGGAGGAAGAGAGGAGCTGGGCCATTTGGGGCAGTTGGTCTGTGGGACACCATGGTATTTACTGCTATTTCTCAGGCCAAAGAAAGGACAGTGTGAACACTGAGGGGCCCAGGGACCCACAAGGCTCCTCCAGGGTCTCAGCATGCCTGGGATGGATGGACAGATGGACAGCAGAGCGATGAGCAGCTTCCTCCCATTTCAGGGGCCCCGGGGCATGTGCTCTCCACCCCCTTACTCGTTCCTTCTGGGTGTCCCGCAGCTGCTGTGCCAGGTCCCACAGGGCGTCCCGCACGGAGGCTATGTCCACCTCTGGGCTGGGGTCCCCGGGTGCAGGGGAGGACCATCGCGGCGGTGAGCAGGACCGGCCGGGGAGGCTGGCCCTCTGCTGTGCGGAGCGAGCCTGGATGCCATCTGAGCCTGCAGGACGGGGTCAGCTGAGGGAACGGGGTGGGGATGCAGTGACAGCCCCCATCCCCAGGGAGTTGGGGGGAACATGGGGGTCTAGGCCCCTCACGGTGTGGGTCGTGAGGCCTGTGGGGGGCTGTGTCCTAAGTGGGTGCCAAGCCAGGACAGGAGCCCACCCGAAGCCACTGAGGACACTGACCTTTACTGGGGGAGCCCGAGGGCCTCTGTCCCTGGAGCCCAAGGCCACGGCAAAGCGTGGACCACAGCCGGCCCAGCTGGCTCTCCGCATCCCGCCTGGCACCCTCAGCCTGAGCGAGCTCCTGCTCCAGCCTGTGAATCTGGCCACAGGCCTTGTCCAGGTGAGCCCGCAGCCCCTCCACTGCCCCATGGGCCTGCTGCAGCCTCCTGGTTGTGGTGCGAAGCTCGGCCCGGAGAGTGTGCTCGGCGCCCTGGCTCTGGCAGAGACGTGCCTCCAGCCGCTGCTTCTGGGCCTCCGCTCCAGCCTCTACCTCCGCCAGCCTCTGCTGCAGCCTCAGGACCTGCGGGAAGGATGTGAGGCCGTCCCAGAGTCCCCTGCCCTCGAAGCCCTGCCCCCAGGCCTCTTGTCCTGACCTCTCCTGAGGGAGTCCCTCAGACCCTCCCCATCAGCATATCACAGCGAGGGGCCCTTGGACCCACCTCCCGGTCCATGTTTGGCAGTGGGGACCCTGAGCCCAGGTGGGGAAGGACACCCATGACCATGGAGAACATCCTGGCAGAAACGGGAAAACCCCAGGCCTGCCCCAGTTCCACTTGTAGCCAGCTCCGTGCTTGTGGCCTTTGGGGGCACAGGCTGGGTCAGCGTCCTCCTGAGCCCAGGGCAGGGGAGCCTCAGGGTGCCTGACACAATGACACGGGTTTCTAAGTGCCAACACAGTGGGTCCGTCGAGGGCTTCCCAGCCCCTACAGCCTTGCCTAGCCCGTGGAGCACGGGGGTCAAGAGGGGGAGGCTCTGGGCTTGGGTGGCCTGCTCCCTGCCTCTCTTGGCCTGGGCCACTCTTCCTCCCTTCTCGAGTTACTCCAGCCCCCTGGGCATGCCCTCCCCATGGGTACTCTGCTGGGCCTGCTCCCCTCTCTTCTCTGGTGGCCTGGGCTAGGCGCAGAGGGACCCTCCTTGACCCACTGCCCATCTGTAGCAGCCCATCCCATCATTCCCGGTTAGACTGCCTGTCTGCTACTGCAGACCGTGCTCACGGCCTGACCTGTGCTCCATGCCCCTGGGATGTGTACCTTCAGCCACACGACATGCCCTGTAAACACTTTTGAGTGATGGCAGGACCGATAGCAGCACTGTCACCCCAGGGAAGTGACAGACTTGGAGGCCACAGAGCCTGCACCAGACTGTAAGTCCTAGGGTGGAGGCCTGGGCCGGGGGCAGGGCTGGGCCTTGTCTAGTTTCCTATCTGGGTGGCCACAGTGCCAATGACTCTATTCCCAGGTGGAGGTGAGGGGCTGCAGGTCACACAGTGGCCACACAGGTCGTGGGAGGGGAGTCCGTGTTTTCTGGTCAATGAAGCCACTGTCTGCATGACTTTGGGTCTGAACTGGGGGATCCTGGGCAGGCCAGGCTGTGAGCAGGGGTAGGTACGAGGCCACCTGGCCACCGGCAGCACACAGAGCCAGGCCTGGACAGAGGGCCTTTCCAGCTGCTGTAGGGGCAGGAGGACACGGGCCTGCAGGGAGAGAGCTGGTGGTAGAGTGTGTGCATGTGAGCACATGGTCAGGGCCGGGGGGACACACGTGGGCAGGTGTGGGTGTGGGTGTATGCTCTGAATCCTGAGGCTCTTTAAGAAATGGGCATTTTAGGGGTCCCTGACTGTCTTCCAGCTCAGAACGCTCCTGTCACCTGGGTGAGGCTGTCCCTTTCTAAAACACAAGAACGCTAGGAGATGCAGGGGTCACCACTTCCATGGTGTTGGGTCAGTCAGAGCCCCTGTCCCTCCACCCTGGCTGCATCCAGCCTCGCTGGGAAGTGGGACAGATGAGCACGTGGACCCACGAAGTGCACGTGGGCAAGAGCCGGGCCGGGTGGCCCTGGACCCCAGCCCCTCAGGCAGCACTGGTGCCTCCTCTGCCGGCTGCTCAGCTCTCCTACCTCCCTCCGGGCACCATCGTGGGCTGCCTCGGCCTCCGCGGCCAGCCTCTGCATCTGCAGCACCTCCTGCTGACTCTGTTGCTGCTGCTGCTGCTGGTGCTGGGTGCCCTGTGCGCCCTGGACCTGCAGTTGGATCACCTCTTGGCTCTTTCTCCAGTTCTCAGCCTCCAGCATGCTCACCTGTGAGTGAGCATGGGGTTGCCAGGGTCCTTCTGGACCCCTGCCTCTGCTCACATGTTCTGGGGCGTCACCCTCCTTTGATGCAGCACCCACACTCTAGGTGTTGGAGGTGGGGGTGCCCTTGGAGCCAGGACACCATGTGGGCAGGAGTGGGCTGGGGTCGGTGTCAGGGGTGCTGCTCTGGTCTCCTCACCGGCTCTCACTCACAGAGTGCCTCGTTCCACTACCTCTCCGAGCCTCCGTGGGCTCACATGAAAAGGAAGGTACTAGAACCTTCCTTACAGGAGGACTGTGGGGGTGGAAGGAGGGAGGTGAAGGAGATGCCTGGTCTGGAGGGAGCACAGGGCATCTCACGACCCGCTCCAAGTCTGAGGAAGTCTGACAGGGCCACAGAGGCTTGAAAAGGGTTCCAGCCTCAAGGGGCATCTTGGGCTCTTGTCTGAGCCATTGTGGGCCACCCCCCTGCCCCACCCCGCCGTGAACTCAGCACAAGTGGCTCTTGACTTTGGAAGCCGAGGTGCTTTCTGAGCCCGAGGTGGCCATGCAGGGAGGAAGCCATGAGGGAGCCTGGGGGACGCCCTAGCTGACAGCCAGCCTGGCCGTGGGGCCCATGAGCCTGTCGCTGCAGGCCGGCTGGGCCCTGCCCACAAGGCCCCACTGTGGAGTGTTCTTGGCACATGCCCTCTGCGCCCTGGCTGAATTCCTGATCCACAGGGTCCATGAGCGTCCAAGTGCTTGTTCTCAGCCATTAGGTCCGTACCCCCCTGGGGCACATGGAACCAGGAGCCCCATGGGTCTGGGTAGGGCCCTCTGGCAGGCAGCTTCCAGCATGGGGGCAGAATATTCCAGAGCCACAGGAAGCAAAGCCCTGTCCTGGAGCTCCTGCTCCAGCCAGTGTGTGCCCTGGGGCCTGGGGGTGGGGGTGGGGACACCTCTGTGGGCGCAGGGCTGCAGGATGGCGGCCCTCACCTGTCTGCCCAGCTCCTGGAGTTCCCGGCGTGCATCTGCCTGGGCCTGCTCCACCTCCCTCAGACTGGCCCGCAGCTCACAGGCCTCCTTCTGGGCCACGGCCCGGGCCTCCTCCAGGACCAGCACCTTCTGCTCCCCTTCCTCCTTGGACCTCTGGAAACTGAGCCATGGGTCACAGGCAGGGGATCCCGCATCGCATCCCACACAGAGACTTCTTGCCACCCACCCCACTCTGGCCTGATGCCTCTCCTGTGGCTTGTTTCTCCAGGGTCCCAGGGCCCAGCCTTCTTGGGGCTGCCTCCCTATCACCTTTGGGGTAGATGAGGGCTGAACGCCCAACTGGCTCTGTCCCTTTCCGTGTCCCCCTGCCATGCTCCTCTCTCCAGCCACACTCCCAGAGACCCAATGTCCAGCAGCAGCCCCACTGCCACCCTACTGCGAGGGCTGCGGTGCCAGCCTCGCTGTCCCCAGAGCCCCGGACCAGGCCCCTCAGCCTCAGTCTGCTCTCCAGCCCTTGGCCGTCTCCTGCTGGCCATGTGGGACCAGTCTGGCATCGAGGGCGGGACCGCTGTGTTGGTATCTCGGCCTTCCCCTCCCGAGGGGTCAGCCCTTCAGACAGGCAGCCGGCACCCTGTTCGGCTCCCTGAGTTCACCCCACCACCATCTGGCCCACGGGAGATCGGGAGATGGTCCCACATCCCACATCCTTTGTCCCCGGGATGAGTCTCGGGGCCGTGCAGGCTCCAAGGGGAGGTACCTGGCCTTCTCCTTCTCAGCCCTGCATATGGCGGCCCGCAGCTCAGCATTGGAGCGCTGCAGCACGTCCTTCTCGCGGGCCTCATCTTCCAGGGCCCGCTGGGCCTCCAGGACCTCCCAGCGAAGTCCCTCCCGGCTCTCCTCGCTGTCCCGAAGCTCCTGGTGCAGCACAGCCAGCCCCTCCTGGGCCTCGTCCAGCTGGGCCCGCAGCCTCTCAGCCTAGGGGAGGAGCATGGGCTATACGGCCCCGCTGGGGGCAGGCAGCAGGGGCTAGGGGCCAGGCTCTGGCCTTGTGTTTCCAAGGGCTTAAAGGAGAAGCAGATGACCTGGATTTGCCCACCCGGGGAGTCACCTCACCTAATGCTGTGAGGCCACGGGGTGGTTCACGGGGTCTGATCCCTGAGCCCCAGGAGGTGACTCTCTGACCCTCCTGGCCTTGGTGTTGCCCCACCCCATCCTTGGGCTCCAGGGATGCTGGTCACTGGTCAGCCCACACATCCTCCCACACCCAGGTCCGGTGGCCTCTGCTTGATGGCCTGCCCCACCTGCTGTCCCCTTCAGTGATGGTGTGGCATAGGGCCACTGTGCACCCCGATGTGGGCAGCAGGGCCAGGGGCCTGAGCTCCCGATCCCTGCATGGCTGTGGGCACACCCTCCCCCTTGGCCGTCATTTCCCTATCTTACGGGAGGCCGGGGGAGGCTGGGTCTCTGGGTAGTGTCCCTTAGAAGGTCCTCTGGGGCCAGGCTGTCCAACGACTTGGGCAGCAGGCACTGTCCGTTGCATGAGTGCTCTATGCATAGTGCCCCACAGAAACACGGACACCCTAAATGCAAGGGGTGGGGGGCGGCAGGGCTCCAGGTGGGCGGGCTCTGGGGCCAGCGGGAGCCATGTGCCACACAGCCACCTCAGTCTCAGGGCTCAGCAGCCTAGACTCTAGCTTCTACAAGCAGACCCAAGGATTGGGAGACGCTGTGGGTGTGAGTCCTTGTCCCCTGTCCCTGTCAGACCCGTTCCAGGCCCAGAAGGGAACCCCCATCGCACTGTCCTCCCCACACCAGGACCCTCCACGCCCTCCTGGGGCTTCTAGGCAGGGCCTGCCGATTCTGGGGTTCTATGTGAGGCCAGAGCTTGGTAGGGCTGGGAGCTGCTTTCATGCTGCCCTGGGACACGGGGTGCCTCATGTCAGCACCACGCCCTCCCCTAAGCCCTGGAGGGGGCCCTGGAGGAGAGTGCAGACCCGGGGAAGGGCCAGCCCATCCTTCAGCACGTGGGCCATGGGGTCAGAGATTGCCAGGTTGGGCCAGGACCTCTTGTCTCCTGCCTCTCTGGCCTGCGCTCCGGCCCTGGGCAGGACCCTCTAGAGAGTGCTCCGTGCAGGCCGGGCTGGCCCTGAGGAGGAGGTGGACGAGGCCGGCAGCGGGCCGAGAGAAGGGAAGCCACAAGAATTCTGAGCAATGTCAAGGCGCTGGTTTGCCAAATGCAAACCCCGCTTTGCTGGCTGTTCCAGCGGGACATTGCCCAGGCCTCTGTCCAGCCTGGCTCCTGTGTCCACCCGCGGTTATTGTTGTTCTGTTTTGGGGAAGGGCCTGAGCCCCTCCTCTGCTCCCCCTCCACCCCCACATATGGGAGCCACAACCGTGTGGAGCAGTTTCCGCAGAGCTCAGCAAAAATCCACCAGGAAGGTCAAGGACCAGCGAAAGGCCCTATCCATCTTACAAGAAACTGTTTTCATTTCCCAGGGCAAGGAGATGAAAACAAGCACAACAAAGCAGGAGAAGGGCCCCTCCCCCTGTGCGACCGCCTGCCCCCCTCATGAGAACAGCGGCCTCGGACGGGAGTTTTACAGTCAAATCACTTAATGTGATTATAATAATTATTTCTTTACTAGAAATCGTATAAACAGCGTCTTTTGAAACCTCCTGCAGGGAAGGGGCTCCAGGACTCTGCACGGCCAGAGGGAAAGCAGGGGAGGGGCTGTGACAGGATCTGACCTGTGTATGTGTGTGAGCACACGCATGTGCGCTCTGTGCACACGCGTGTATGGATGTAGCACGGGTGAGGATGAGGCCTGTGCCTCTGCACACGTGCGTGCCCACGTCCACGTGCGTAACGGGTGCGTGTAGGCGTGCGTGGTAGCGTGTGTGGCTCGTTGCACATTTGTGTGAGCTCTGCGGTGTCCATATGTGTTTCCCTGGGAGGGTTGTGTCCGCACATGAGTGCACGTGTATATGCACGTGCGTACTGTCATGTGTGTGCCCGTGTGTGCATGGGGGTGTGCGTGAGTACGAACCATGCTGTGTATTCACGTGTGTGTGTGTGCACACGCGTGTGGCGCTCTAGGCAGGGCCGTGAGAAGCCTGGACCGTCCTTCAGTTTAAAGGCTGTGGAAAGTTATGGTTTCCATGGCAACTGGGCCAGCCTGGCGCCTGGGAGGCTCTTCGGGGCTGCTGCTCCCTGGCTTGTTGCTCCTGTCCTCTCGCCTCAGCCTCCTGCTCCTCCACTCCCTTCCAGGGGGCTCTTTTCCTTTCTGGCGTTCCCTTTCCTTTCTGGGGGCTCTTTCTCTTTCTGGGGCTTCTCTCTTTTTTCTGGGGGACCCTCCCCTTTCTGAGGTTTCCTCTCCTTTCTGGGGTTCCCTCTCCTTTCTGGGGGCCCCCCTCTCTGGGAACCCAAACTTCTCAGGAGGCCTGTGCTTTCTTCTTTCACTTCTCCAGAACAAATGTGCCCCCAGTCTCCCGGCCCCTCCCCTGCAGCCCCTAGTTTTAAAATCTCATTTTGCTTCTCCGTGTGGTCGCTGACCGGGCCTGACTTTGAAATCTGTTGAAAGGAGACCTTTCTCTTTGGGGGCCAAAGTAAACAGCCTGTCATGTTAAATCATGCTCTCTCCCTCCCCCTCCCTCTACTGCTGGGGCCTGCCCCTGGGGGGCTGGGGGAGGGCTGAGGAGCCCCTTTCCTTTCTGCTGCTTGGTCCGAGCTTGTGCTCCCCTGAGCTCCCGGTCAGCATGCTTGCTGCCTGCGGCCTTGGCTCCTTGCCCAGGGAGAGCACAAATCCTACCCTCCCACGGCCCCACCTGGGCTATAACTTACCCTCCCCCTGCCCAAATCCCTGTGCCCTCCTGCCCTCCCCTCTTCCAGGCTCCCCAGGTCCTGTCACAGCTCCCTCAGAAACACCTCCCCGATTTGCTTGCCTGCTGTGTTGAAGCTTGGCCTGCCTTGCGCAGGACTCTCCCCACCACAGGACACTGTCACGTGGCTCCTGGGGGCCTTGTGTTGACCTCGACTCCTTGGCCAGGTCCATGCATGGCCGCCCCTGGAAACCCCACAAAACCCCCACACTTCTGCCCCTCTACCCCAGTCACCCCCAGGCAGCATCGCCTCACCTGATACCCGGTCCCCTGGGGTCTATACCCCATGCTGCCTGTAGGCGGGGCCTGGCCAGCACCACCTCACCAAGGCTCTTCCCAGGGCTGGTAGGATGGAGGGGTCTCTGGGCCAAGGGTCCAGCTTTCCCCTCCCAGCTCCCTGAGTCACACCTGCCTGTCGGGAAGGCCTTCTCTCCCCACTCCCGGCATCCCGGCTCTCCTGGAACTGCCTCTGCCCCTCCCCCCTGACACCCCCTCACTTCTCTCCTGGCGTTGCTTCGCTCTGCTGCCATCTCCCGAAGACTCTCGCCCAAAGCCGTGGCCTCTCTCTGATGGGCAGAGATGGCATCCTCAAACTGGGCCTGCAGGGCCTTCAGCTCCGCTGTCGTGGCGCTGACGGTGGCCTGGAGGGAGCAGCAAGCCGGCCACGGCATCCACGGGCAGCCCGAGGCTTGGGCAGCTGGTGGTCAGCTGAAGCCCATGCGGGCAGCCAGACGCTGTCCTCACATGGGCCGTCTCAGGTGGCCGGGGACAGAGCCCGCTCTGGGACTCCAGGTCAATGTCCTCACGCCAACAGTTGCCATTGCTCCCGATGCCAGGTACCCAGGAGACAGGGTGAGGAAGCCCCAGAGGGGTCTCCCCACAGGGAGGGGCTGACCCTGCCACCCACGCCTTTCCTCTGGGGTCTCCAGCCCAAGGCCAGGGCAGGGTCGGCTGCAGTGGCCCAGTCAGGGACTCAAGCACTGACCTCTCTCATCCCTAAAATGTTGTTGTTGGGCCCACCTGGCTGAGGGGTCAAGAATAGCCATTTGGCAGCAAGAGGGCCCTGCCCTCAAATATCACCGACTTCGGGACTCCTGGGGCTGGCAGTAGGCTCAGCGTTCATGCCCAGGAGCTCAGGACCTCCACCCTCGCTGGCTGGCTGGAAATGGGAGAAGCCCCCCCGGGTCCCACGGCCCCGTGGTTGGGGCATCCTCTGCGGTCAGTGCAAGGGGCTCACCCTTCCCAGACAAAGGGCCTCTAGTCCTACTCTGTGGGACCCTGCCCCTCAGCGTAGGGCCAGAAAGGCAGACCCCAGTTCAGAAGACATGGCAGTGGTGGGGAAGGGGGAGGCCCTGTCCCTGAGTCCGGGTGAACACAGGGGCCCTTCAGCCTTGGTTCCCCGAACTTTCACATAGGTGGGGGCCTTAGGGGACACCCACGTCACTGTCAGCCTAAACATGTAGTCACCACAGATGCATCTGGAAAGTGGCTGCTGGACCACCCCCGTAGAGACCATGCAGGCCACTCAGGCAGCCCAAACATTCCTCTGGGACATTGCTCACCCCGAATCTGCCCTCCTGGGGCCTCAGGTCTCAGGAGGTTCCTGTCCAGCGCTCACTGGTGGGCACGTGGAGGCAGTGAGGGGCCTCTGGGCCCCAGGCTCGGCAGCCGTGCTCGAAGCTTTCCTTGTCCTTGAGTAAGGACAGCACCGGCTTGCCTACTTACCATGAGGCCTACCTGCTTCCCTGCCAGGATGACTTCCTCCCTCCTGCCTGTTCCCAGGGTGGTCTGGGCCTCCAGGGTAGGGGATGGAGCTGACTTCCTGTTCCAGGAGGTGCAGGTGCCCACGCTACTGGCCCTATGCTGCGTCTCTAAGAGGCCTCCCCACTACCCCTGCCAGGACTCGGTGGCTGCCGCAGAGCAAGGGTGCTGGTGGGCTGGGGCTCCATCAGGCTTCACTGGGGCCCCCTCCACCCTGGGCCCCTGCTGTCCCTCCCCCGTGACAGGTATCACCTTGGGTGGCCGGGTCTGGCTGTGCCTCCAGGACAGGTCTCCCCTGGAAGCCCTGGGAGGGTTGTGAGCGACCGCATACCTCCAGCCAGCCCCTCCACCCACCAGTGGTGCTTTCTGATCCCACAGCCGGCTTCCTTTAGCTGGCATCCCTCCTCTCTCAGTCCTCAGTGGGTTTTAATTTTCCAGGCCAAGGTGCCAAAAGGACCCCTAACGAGGTCCCTGCTGGCTGGCGGGCCATCCCCAGTCCAGCCAGAGACTTGGAGCCAGCATGAGGGAATCCTCCTGAGCCAGCCCTCTCTGAGTTGGGGTGTCAGCTCCCGGGGTCTGGGGCGGGGGCATTCCTGGTTCCCTGACCATGGATGGGACTGGGGGCAGCTCAGTGGGGATGGGAGGAAGGAGGGCCTCCACTCCTCCCAGCTGTGCCCATGGAAGGGCCACCCAGGCTAAGGGTGGGACGGAGTGTGGCAGGGGCTCCAGGGAGGGAGGCTCCTGGATGAGACTTTCCTGGGTGCCAGGAGCCCCTCCAGGCAGCTCTTCTCCTAGTGACCGTGTCAGGCAACCATGGGGTGGGGGGAGGAGAGTGAAGAGACACTCTGGCGGAGGCCCCCCCATGGCACACAGCTGTGGGTGTCCCACCCATCGGTGGAGGCACAGGGCCCCCAGGGTCATGGCCCCCACTCCAAGTCCTAGTTGCTGCTGCCTGCCCTGACCCCTGACATGGGCTCCTGGTGGAGTCCAGGGTCCCAGGTGACCCAGTCGGTTGCCCAAGGAAGCCTCAATGCAGTGGTGGGCCAGTCCCTACAGGGTCTCTCCCACTCCTCATCCCTCAGGGATGCCTCTCTTCCGGCTCAGCTTGGGACTCTCTGTGGGCATCCTTCCCAGTGAAGGTCTGCCTCGGGCACAGTGCTGGACTTCCCAGGTTGGGTTTCTCCTTCAGAGGCATCTAACAAGCTGGCCCTAGAGGCCTCACACTTGTTTACTGCAGTTCCATTCCAAGGGCAGCTCAGGTGCACAGATGGGCAGAGCTGGATGTCTGTGGGGCTGGCTGGGGCCCAGGTCTGGGTTCCGCCCTTCTCTGTTACTGGCTTGCCTGTGGCCCCAGGCCCTCCTCTCTCTGGATTTTTCCTGGCCAAGCCCACTGCTGGGGAGCAGGGACCGATTCTCACAGCCCCCACCCACCCCCAGCTTTGGTTCTTTGGGTCTTTCATTCCCATTAAGACAGTGTTTCCTTCCAGAAGGAGACCTGGATATTTCCCGAGGGACATTCAGGCTCAGGGGGCCAGGATGGAAGGGGCTGTGTCCCTGGGACCAGGCAGGAAGGGGGTGCATCTGGGGATCCGCCTGCGCCTGCCAGGCTGGGTGCTCAGGGTCTTGCTTGGGCCCCCAGGGCTCACCTCGGCTTGTTCATGCCGGCTCTGGGCCTCCTGCCGCACCTGCTCCAGCTCCTGCGTGGACCTGAAGAGCTCTTCCCTCAGTAGCTTCCCCTCTTCTTCTTTCAGGGTCAGGGCCTGGAGGGATTTGGGGGACATGGTGCTTGTGAGGCTCAGAGGCCTCTTTAAGGAGAGGCTGCAGCAGAAGAGTGGGTAGTAAAGCCTCTGCGAGGATGTGGTGTGCTCCTGATTGCACACCCCTGCTTGGGGAGGAACATCACCCCAGAGGCAGCCCTTGTCCTGAGTGGGGTCGATGGGGCCTTTTCGCTCTGTGTAACATGGCCCAACCTCTGTGCCTCTGCTCAGTCAGCTCTCTATACACTGGTTGACTGATCAGGTGGATGGATGATCAGACACAGAGATGGATGGTGGATATGGATGGACAGATGAGTATGTGGATAGAAGGAAGGATGTGATAGATAGATAGATGGTCAAGTGAGTGGTTAGATAGATGGATAGTCACATGAATGTATGGGTGGATAGTTGGGTGCATGGATAGTTGGATGGATATTTAAGCAAATTGATGGATAGATGTGTGGTTAGGTGTGTGAATGGAAAATTAGGCATGTGGATAGATGGCCATGTACATGGGACATCAGCTGGGTGTATAGATAGAAGGATGGCAAGTCAGGTGAATGGATGGATGATGGACAGATAAATGGAGGGACAGTAAAGTACATGGATGGATAGATGGGTGGATGGATTGGTAGATGGATGGGTGGATGGATATGGATGCATGGATTGGTGGGTGGATGGATGGATTGATGGGTGGATGGATAGATGAATTGGTGGATGAATGGATGGGTGGGTGGGTGGATGGATGCATGGATGCATGGATGGATTGATGGGTAGAGAGGTGGATGGGTGGATGGGTGGATGGATGGATTGATGGGTGGATAGATTGGTGGGTGGATGGGTGGATGGATTAGTGGATGGATGGATGGATGGATGGATGGATGGATGGATAGGTGAATGGATGGATGATGGGTGGGTGGATGGGTGGATGGATTGATGGGTGGATGGATGGGTGGATGGATTGATGGGTGGATGAGTGAACAGATTAGTGGGTGGATGAATTAGTGGATGGATGGATGGATTAGATGATGGATGTGTGGAAGGATTGATGCGCAGAAGGGTGGATGAGTGAATGGATGGGTGTACTGATGACGGATGGGTGGATGGGTGGATGGATTGATGGGCTGGATGGATTGATGGGTGGATGGATGGATGGATGACGGGTGGGTGGATGGAAGGATGGATTGATGGGTGGATGGGTGGATGGATGGATGGATTGATGGGTGGATGAATGGATGGGTTGCTGGATGGATGAGCAGGGGGTTGGATGTCTGTCCACCAGAACTTCTGTGGAAGACCATAGTTGCAATAGCAGTGACCTAGAAAGGTTGCCCTCATAGCCCTCTTGCTGGGTGAGAGAAGGCATGGTGATGTTGATGTGCATGTTTCCTGCTGCCTCATAGTCCCCTGTCACCTGTTGCATCTCATGTTCCAGCTGGAGGAGACTCTCATCCCTCTCATGCTTCAGGCTCTGAATCTCATCCTTCAGAGCCTCACTCTTGGCTGCATTCTTTGCCACCAGCTTCTTCTCCTGTTCCAACCGGCGAGCTGCCACTTCCTTCTCCTCTGTCAGAGACAGACTCAGGTTCTCCTGGGCCAACACAAAGGGACAGGCTGTGATGGCTGCATAGGTCAGGACATGTGAGACCAGCAGGTCCTAAGTGAGACCTGGTTCATGGGACAGACGGCAGGTCAGGACAGGTCCCCAGAGGTTGGCCACTCCAGCTATATCACACTTGTCTCACATGATGACACCAAAGCAGGACCCGAGTCTCTCCATCTGCCCTCCCACGTTTATGTAGTGGCTCATAACCCCCTCCAGAGCCTCCACATTCATGAGATGTATAATATGTCAAGCACGACCTGCAGGGAAACCTCCCTCCAGCTACTGGCCCTCAGACTGCAGCCAGGTCAGCTTGCACGAGGTCTGGGCTCTTTGGCACACAGGCCCCAGGCTCTGGGTGGCTCAGGCTCACTCGAACTTGGAAGAGTCCTCTTCTGGCCCTAGCCACGGCATGGCTGGGGCACCTCTGTCTCCTGGCTGGTCTCCTAGGCTCCCGCCCCCAGCTGTCTGCTGCATTTTAGGACATGGTAGACCCCAGGGAAGTGACCAGGCAGCTGGGTGGCCCAACAGAAGCAGACCTTCTCCCTCTGGAGCCGAGCCAGGTCCTCATGGTGGGCCAGCACCTGACTCTCCAGGGCCAGCTGCCCCTCCCGCTCCTGCTGCGCCACTTGCCGCTGAAGCTTCTCCATGTCCCACTGTAGCTTTGTCTCCTGGACCTCCCAGGAACTTTTCAGCTGCTGCATTTCCACTGTGAAGTGACAGGTGCATCAGGGGCTGGCTACGAGGCCCCCACAGCATGGAACCCCTGTGGCCCTTACGAACCCCCTGTGGAGTGCCAGCCCCATGGAGGGACAGCCACCTGCTCTGAGGAGGCTGCCAGAGCCCGGAGACAAAGCACTCCCTGCCTCACTGTGTGCGTCCTAAGTTCTCACCTTATACTTGCTATGACCAGGCCACCCCAGGCCGGGCGGGCTGACCAGGGAGCATAGGGGAGGGGCAGGGAGCCAGCTTGCTGATCTTGTGGCCACAGCCCAGTTTGGTGTCTGGGCCCATCCCTGGAAGCAGGTGGGGTGGGTGCCCATCCCTCCCAGACAAAGTGGCAGGAGTTGTCCAGCCCTGTGAGCTCCAGGCCTGTGTCTGCCTCCCTTCAAGGCACTGGGGAGTGGAAGCAGCACATCTGGGGACTGAGATCCTCTGACGGGGGAGAAGATCAGAGAGAGCCCCCACGAGGAGCACCTTGCAGGGCCTGCTGAGCGAGCCGCATGCTCTGGGCCTCTCCTTCCAGCTGTTCCCTCTGTGCCTGTAGCTGCCTGGACAGCTGCTGGGTCTCAAAGAGGCTGTTCTCCAGAGAGTCCCTCTCAGCCCTGCAGAAAGTCGTCAGACAACGGAGCCTGTCACCCAGGCAGTCCTGCCGATGAGTGATGGTGGAGAGCTCATTTCCGAGACAGTGGGACAGTGCCCGCCAGGCCAGTTTCACAAATCACAAGAAAAACAGAATAAACATCTCATTCATTTTAAATCTCTAGAACCAAAGTAGGCCCTGCACAAAATAATCTTTCGGATGGATTAAAAAGCTAAGTGAAACAAAACAAAACAAGCAGCAAATAAACAACTCAGAACAATAAAAATAGTAGAGGGGCACTGGTGGCTCAGTCGGTTAACCATCCAACTCCTGATTTCAGCTCAGGCCCTGAGCTCAGGATGGTGAGATCAAGCCCCAAGGGTCTCAGCCTCCTGGAGTAGAGGCCCGGCAAGACCAGCCAGGCTGCAGGCAAGGGCCAGGCAGAGACCCCACCAATCTCTCTGGCCAGCGAGTGGCCCAGCACCCTGTGAACTGAGAATGTGTCTGTGGGGCTGCCGCCTCATCAGGGCCCTGCTGTGGGGGCTGTAGGACCTGGAACCCTGGGGTCTTCCGTCACTGTCACGCAGCCCACTGCAGGAGAATCGAGCTACAGCAGGACTCCGCACCCCTGCTGGTTGTCGGCATCACCTGGAGCTGGTTAAGGCTGCCATGGTCACACCCTCCAGCCCACAGAGCCTGCCCGATAAACACACCCTGTGCCTGCTGGGGGTCATGTGTGCCAGGCACAGGTGGCTTGATGAGTCCTCAGCAGCCTTGTCAGCAGAAGCTCAGACTACTCACTGTGAAGTGCTGTTTAATGAGCGGCGAGCTCTGTCTGGGGGCCACTGGGTTGGCAGGTGCAGGGACCTTGGGCCCAGTGGTCAGGGCTGGGCTTGGAGAGGGGATCCTGGGCTCCTGAGGCCTCTGCCCAGCCTCTGCCAGCGATCCGGGCAGTAGATGTTGGCAGGTGATGGGCCTCTAATCCCTGTTCTTCTGAGTACCCGTGGGGCCTGGGAGGGGGCAGCAGGGAGGGATCTCCACTCCTGCTGACCCAGAGTAGCCTTTGTTAAGTTTTCTGTTCTAATTTCTCTATCGCTTTCATTTGCAAAAGAGGTTTGTCTGTGAAGATGTTTAAGGACCTGGGACTCGAAGGGTTCTTGTGATTCCCCAGATTCTGGAATTCCAAGAATTCCACAAAAAAAAGAATTTCTACAAAAATACTTAGATGTTCTCAAGAGAGCCTGCAAGTTTGGGGCCAGAAAGCCACCAGCTTTTGGATTTCCAGAGACCTTGGAACTAGCTCCGCCCATGGGGCAATAGCCAACAGGCACCCTGTTCTCACCTCCAAGTGCCTATTTCAATCCTTCTGCAAGTGACTCCTGATGGTCTTTGAAGCTCATCTTGGCCTCAACTTCATGGTTCCCTGGGGCTGACACTGCCCCTGGCTTCAGGGGTGGGCACGTGACTCCATCCTGCCAACCTGAGCCTTGCAACTCCCGGGATTGGTTCAAAACATCTAATGGTTCATGATGGTCAATGGCACAGATTTTGGACTTGTGGGGAGAAGGGCACTATGTCTGCTGGAGGAGGGAGTCTGGAGTGGCCATTGACAATTTACCACCTTTTACCCTGAGCCTGCCTGAGAGCAAAATTCCCTGAGTTAAGTAGCACCAATCAGGGAGAGACAGGATCCTGATAGCACTGTGGAAGCACTTGGATCCAGCCTTGCCTGAAGCCATGTGTACCCTGAACTTCTTAGACCCATGAGCAAGACATCCCATGCTTCCCTTCTGCTGGTCTGAACTGGGTTTCTGGTTACTTGGAATCTGGCCAGTAGAGCCACTTTGCTCAGGAGGGCTATCCCAGGGTTCTCACTAGATTCACTTCTAGATGCTCCTCCTATCCAGGCACTGTGCTTGCCTCTCGCTCACAACCTCTCTCCCACATAGACAGACTTGCTCTGATCTACAGTCTTGGAGTAGGTGCCTGTCCGCTGCCACACTGGAGGCCCTTCAAGGATGAGGCTGTGTGGACACCAGTTGTTGGAAGCACCCCGGGTACCTGAGGTCAGCTGCCTCCTCAGCTGTGAGCTGGACCTGCCTCTCCAAGGCCTCCTGTTTGGCCAGCAGCTGGGTCCGCTCATCAGACAAAGCCTCCTTTTCTTGCAGAGCCCTCTGCAGAGAGTCCATCTGGGCCTCCTGGTCCTGCAGGCTCTGGGCCAGCTGCTCTTCCAGGGCCTGTTTCTTGCACGTGACCTAGGGGAGAGGGCAGGGACAGTCTGGCAGAAAGTGGGAGGGTGAGGGAAAGGTGAGAAAAGAAGCAATTTTGTGCAGAATGGTGCAGAGGAAGAGAGGGGGAGGAGAAGGGGAGGAGAGTGGACAGGAGAGTGGACAGAAGACAGGCTGGACCTCAGAAGGGAACGTGTGTGTTTTCACAGCAGAGGGGCCTCCTCTCCTGAAGCAAAGGCAGAGAAGTCCCTGACCTGAGCATTCCCAGGGAAGAGCCTGCTCCTGATCTAAATGGTAGCCTTGGTTGGCCCACAAGTGTCCAGGAAGCAGAAAAAATGACACAACAATGACTGGAGAAGGTGGCAGAGGACCAGGTTGCTGTAGACAAACACTTCCATCAAGAACATCACAAGACTCTAGACAGGATTGGACACAAGGATCTGCGCAAGGCTTCAGAGAGCTACCAGGGCAGTGGGGACTGAAGGAACTGAGACCTAGAGGGAGGGACACAGAGGACTGAAGCCACTACTTGGCATCTCTTCTCTCCTCAGAATTTGTTCATCTAGAAGTTTTGGCCTCCATTTCTCAGTTTCTAAAACAGAGTTTCTGATGGGACTATGGCCTCAGGGGAACAAAAACTCAAGTTCAGAACCATCATAGCAGAGGGGCCGTAACAAACAGCCCAACTTTCAGTTGCACTCACAGAGGGCCTCACCCTGGTAGTGGAATGGAATCAGAACTAGATCATCCCTCATACAAGCTGAAGCCCAGGTCTGAGTCACTAACACCAGGCACTGTGGTGATCATTTACCTTACTGCCCACCAGAACCAGAAGTAAGTCTTCCTGGAAGAATAGAGTCATCAAGATCGTCAAGTTGTTTCTACAATTTTTGACCCATGATATTTGGCATTTAATCAACATTACCAGGCATATCAGGAGATAGAATCATATAGCAAAAAACAAAGCAAAACAAAACAAAAAAACACATGTAAGAACATAAAATAAATACCAATGTCTTCCTGGCCTCTTGGGTACTCAGATATTGGAGTTGTCAGATACAGAGTTTAAAGTAGCTGTGATTCAAAGTTTGAGAAGATGGATGGCAAGATGTGGAATTTCACAACAGAACTAGAAACTCTAAACAATCTAATTTTAAAATACAGTGACTGAAATTAATAAATATATGGATTCAATGCCAGCTTAGACAGAAAAGAGGACTACTCTTCTGGAAGATAGACAAAAGAATGTATTCAGACTGAATCATGAAGAGAGAAATGGATGAAAAACACAGGAAAGAGTGACAGACACATGGGACAAGGTAAGAAGGTCCAACATGTGTACAATTGAAGTTGCAGTAGGAGAGGAGAGGGAGAATTTGAACAGGTACTACTCAAGAATATCCCAAATCCAGTAAAATCCATCAAGCCACAGATTTAAAATGAACCATAATCCTCCAATAGGATAAATACAAAGAAATTATCACAGACACAGAGCATAGTAAAGTTTCTGAATACCAGAGATAAGAAAGACACCTTTTAAAACCAGAGGGGAAGGGGTGCCTGGGTGGCTTAGTGGGTTAAAGCCTCTGCCTTTGGCTCGGGTCATGATCCCAGAGTCCTGGGATCAAGCCCTGCATTGGGCTCTCTGCTCAGGAGGGAACCTGCCACCCACCCCTCCGCCTGCCTCTCTGCCTACTTGTGATCTCTGTCTGTCAAATAAATAAATAAAATCTTAAAAAAACAAAAAACAAAAACAAAACCAGAGGGGAAAACACACATTACCTTAAAATGAGCAACAAGAAGACTGACATCTGATTTCCAAGCAGCAACAAGAAAAGTCAGAAGACAGTGGGATGAATTCATCAAAATGCTAATGGCAATAATGGCTATCCTGGTATTATTCTATAACCTATTAAAAAATCCTTCAAACATTGAGACCAGAACTTTCTGCTTCTGATAATGGTGAAGGAGGTGGTTGAAGACCAGCCCTCCCATCTGGGGCAGCTGGAAAATTTTGCAGTGCACCTGCAACATAAGAAACTGTATGAGGGCCCGAGAGCTGCCAAAGCAGTCAAGATCCAAGCAGGTGTGCGTCCAGCTGAGCCCAACACTGTACCACAGATCTCCCTCGTGGTACTGGCCAGCTCCTAAGTAGCTCAAGGCTCCTTTGCAGCCTTGAATAAGGCCTTACCTAAAGGCTGGGGACTTGACTTATGGTTTCAGCAGGCTTACGAGACTAGGGAGACATAACCTTGAGTTCAAAGCTACCGAAACAGTTGGGGAGGTAAAGATATCAGAGAGGAGGGGAGACTCAGATTCTCTATTGTTTTTAAAAATGGTATTCTTTTTCTCTAAAAATAAAATAACTCCAAACAAGTATGGGGCCAACGGACTACGAATTTGAATGAGAAGTGGGAGCCAAGGATCTGAGAAGTCACACAGAACTTCGGGCAGTCTTAACAGAATTGGGAAAACAAAACCTGGAGGTAGGGCTCACCAGAAGGTAGAAGCTTTGGTCAGTACCCAGCATGTCCACTGAGGGGCCTGTGAGAATTGTGTTGTACCCACGTGCACACCAGAAACAGGAAACTGTTGCTCTTCACAGAGGCCATGATTATGAACACGGAAACCTTAGAGCTCACCAGTGAACTTGGTAAGGTCACGTGACTCAAATTTCATAGGTGAGACTGTACTTCTCTACACTAGTAATGAATAGTAGGAAAATAAAATTAAAACAGCAAAGCAATTCACAATATCAACTTTAAGAATCAATTTAATCAAATGTGGGCAAGACATTTACACCAAGCACAAAACACAGCTGAGAGAATTAAGAGAGATACCACACCTTTACGGAGGGACACCATGATGTCGTGAAGGTGTCCAGGCTTCTGAAACTAACCTGTAAAGTCAGCACAATATTAATCGAGGTTCTAGCAAGCTTTACGGGGGTGGGGAGAGCAGGGAATGACAGAAATTTGCAAGCTGATTCTGAAATGTACATGGATATGTAAAAAATTTAGAACAGTCAAAAACCATTTTGAAAAAGAAGAGTAAAGGTGCGCCTGGGGGGCTCAGTTGGTTAAGCATCTGCTTTTAGCTCAGGTCATGATCCCAGGTTCCTGGGATCAGGTCCTGCTTCAGGCTCCCTGCTCAGCAGGGGGTCTGCTTCTTCCTCTCCCTCTCCCTCTGCCTGTCGCCCCAACTGTGCTTTCTCTTGCTATCTTTCTCTCTCTCTCAAGTAAGTAAGTAAAATCTTAAAAAGAAAAAGAAGAATAAGATTGGAGGACCCATGCTACTCAATTTCAAGCTTTATTGAGAAGTACAGTAACCAAGACCGTGTGGTCTGGGGGAAGGAATGAGGAGATTGCACATGTCAACAATCTGATCTGTGCCCCTACGTGCAGACATATGTTCAATTTACTTTCAACAAGTCACTAAGGTAATTCAGGGGAGAAAGGACAGTCTTTAAAAATTGGTGCCGGGACAGCTGGATATTTGTATGAAAAATAACGGACTGTAGGTCTTACTTTACATGACACTCCAGGGATTCACACATTTTGGGGGCATCAGAATCACCTGGAAGTCTCCTTACAACCCAGATTTCTGCCGCCCACCCTGCAGTTTCTGGCTCAGTCAGTTTTGAGCAGGGCATTTTGAGAATCTGCATTTCTACCTCGTTCCCAGGTGCTGCTGCTGCTGCCCTAGGGAGAACACTTTGAGAACCACTGCCATACTCACAGACCCCTATGTTAGAGTTGGGTGAAGACACAGGCGAGCATTTGGTTGTCCTTGGGCTACATAAAAGTGTCTGAGACAGTACCTAGGAAATCCTAACCACACATTTTTTAAAAACTTGGCAAATTGGATTTTACCAAAGTTAAAAACAACAGTAAGAAAATGTCTAAGCAAGTCACAAAGGTGAGTGAACTATTCCAGGTACATCTGTCTGACAAGGCACTCGCGTTCAAGATACATCAAAAGTTCTTATATGTCCATAACCAAACACCCAGTAAGAACGGGCACAAAAGTTGAACAGACACTTGACAAAATACGGTATGCAACTTTCCAGCGAGCATAAGAACAAGTGCTCAGATCATCTGTTATCTAGGACATATCAGTTCAAACCACCATGGTATATAACTTCACACACACACACACACACACACACACACACACACACACACACAGAAGAGCTGAAAAGCAGAAATGGGTGATGCCAAGTGTGGACGAGGCCTCGAAGCCACTGAAAGCCCGCCCCGCCCCCCACCAGTCCGTTGCTGGCATTAGAGAAAGCAATGCAAACAGTTCAGAAAATCACTGGCCCGTTTCTTATTCGGTTTGACACCCACCTGCCCAACGGCCACATTCCCCTCCCTATACATGTTTGCAACTCATACACCTATGTCCGTGGCCACCTTGTGCATCAAAACCCAGACTGCGAAGAACCCAAATGCCCAGCAGCAAGGAAATGGGAAAGCGAATGTGGTTTATTTCTATGTGAAGTGTTACTAGGCAGTCAAAACCCCGAGCTCTCACTATGACTAAGTGCGATGGTGCCCCCTGACATCGTGCTGAGACAGGGCCCCAGCTCTGCGGCTCCCTTTACCAGAAGCTCTCGGACAGGCAAAACCGTGCATGGGTGGGGTGCGTGGCACAGAGACTGCCTGGGGCGGGGTGGACCTGAGGCCCTAGGGAGCCTTGTCGTCCTTGTCTCCTTTGTGCTGGCCATGCCGTGCACGCAGTGGTCACAACTCGTGGACCTGCGCGGTGGCTCTTGAGTGCAAATCACACTCCAGTGACAGGAGGAGGGAAGAGACGGGCTGGAAAGGATGGGACAGAGCCTGAGGGACAGAAGGACTCAGAGCTGAGTCCCAGAGCACCCAAGACAGCTGGTGGTCCCGGGCCCGAGACTATGGGTGCAGCGTTCCACATGGGGCAACAGGCTGGGATTGGAGGAAAGCAAAGTGCTCCAGGGTCACTCCCCACAGAGCCTGCCTTCCTCCAAAGGCCGAGGTCCGGGAGAGTGGGGGAATGAATGCATGAGCAAAGACGCAGACAGAACAGTGAGCACAGAGAGGTCCAGGGAGGAGAGAAACAGGATAGAGGAGGAAGCAGTGACATTCCTGACCCCCAAGTGTGTGGAAGTCATGAGACAGAGCCTTTCGGTCCTCTGAGGGGGTCCTAGGACAGGCCCTGGACATGGGGGACAGGCTCCACGTACTGATTCTCTGCATATCCCACCCCCATCTCCTCCCCACCAACCCTCGACACCCACACCGGGAAGCCGGTGTCAGAGTGGGCTTTGAATCTGGCCACAGCGGTTAGCGGTTAGTTTTGGTGGCAGAAGGCACTGCAGCAGCCATCCTGAGCCAGCGTGACTTCAAAAGGTGACCTGTGGCCTTCCATGCCCCAGAGAGCCGGGTGGGGCAGCACTGCTAGGTGGGAGCAGGGCCCAGGAGCCCGGAGGACGCCTCACCTGGTCCACCTGCTCCTGCAGCTGGGCCTTCTGCAGCTGGAAGCGGGCAGCCTGCCCCAACTGCTGCTCTAGCTGCTGCTCCAGCTGCTGCTCCAGGCGCCCGCAGGCCCGCTGCAGGCCCCCACGCTCTGTCTGCACCAGCTCCAGCTGCTGCTCTGCCCGTACCAGCCGCTCCCGCACTCCGGCCTGCTCCCGCTCCAGTGCCTTCTGCTGCTCCCGCAGCTGGTCCCGTTCCTGCTCCAGCTGCCATGGTGGCGGGGGGCGGGGGTGGTGGGGGTTGCAGGCAGGGAGGCAGATGTGTTCCATATGCCGGCACCCTCAGTCCCGTGGGCTGAGCACCCCGCCTGGCCTATGCGGGACCTGGCAGTCTCCTGTACCCCAGTATGCCTCCTCTCTGGACCCCTGCTCTCTTGGCAGGAATGGAGAAGGGGAGGAGGATGGTGGCGGGGGGTGGGGGGCTTGCTTCTCACCTGCAGGACCAGGTGGTTCAGGTTGCCTTTGTCGTGAGCCAGCGCCTCCGTCAGGGCCGCCATCCTGGCCAGAGAGTCCCTTTGCTCTGCTCCCTCTGACTTCAGCCGGGTCACAAGCAGTTCCAGGTCAGTGCTGCTGGACTCGGCCTATAGGGGGACAGCGCTGTCACTCTGATGAGACTTCAGATCTGCAAGCAGACCTACCCAGGTGGAGCTGTGGTGCCAGGAAGGGAGGGAGCTCTGTGCAGGACAGGGTGGCGAGGCCTCTGAGGGGGCACTGGCCCCCTGGGTCCTCAGGCTGCAGCCAGATGTGGTGGGGTAGCCCCACGAGATGCACGGAGAAGCAGGTGTGGCCAGTGGCCAGGCAGGACAGGCCTGCGCCCACCAGCTGGGGACCCAGAAGGCTGTTGGTGGCTTTGGGAATTTTGGTGATGGACTGAGGGCCCTGGAGGGTGAGGAGACAAGTGTGTGGGAGGGGGCAGGCCAGCGTAGACAGTGGGGGAGAGCAGGCAGGGTGGGTACCCGGGCCAGGGCTTTGCGCAGGCCCTCCCTCTCGCTCTCCAGAACATCCCTCTGTAGTCGGGCTGAGTTCAGTGCCTCCTGGGCTGACACCAGCTCCTTCCTGAGCCCCGAGACCTTCTCCTCCAGCTGCTCCAGGCGCCCTTGACTGCAGTCCAGAAACCAGAGGACAGAGACTGTGAGGTCACCTCAGAAGGTGGGGGCCACAATGGGCAGGATGATGGCCTGCAGATCCCTCCGAGCCCAGGGAGCCCCAGAGGAGTATGCACAGCCTTGTAGGGCCCAGAAACTCATTAGTCCTGTTTCAGGCCTGGGTGGGTGGTCTTGGTCCATACCTTGACAGCCCTGGGTGAGGAGAGTGTGTGTGTGTGTTTGTGTGTGTGCGCTCACAGCGCACTCTGGCCCTGGGGGTGGGGAGTAGACCTTGCTGGGAGGTTGGAGCAGGGGTGAGGGGGTGTGGGTGATGCCCAGCCTGGGGGAATCTGGAGAACCCTTTGCCGCTGCTGTCCAATCAGGTGCCCCCACTCCCATCCTGGTGAGGACATGGCCCTCTTTGTGGCTGGGGACACAGAGGCTGAGAGGCGTGGCAGCCACTCTGCCTGGCACACCTGGTCTCTAGCTCCCTGCGGCCCCGCTCGGCCTGCTGCGTCAGCTCTTCCTTCCGCTCTGCCCACAGCAGGAGGCCCCTCTGCAGCTCCTCGGTCTGGGCCTCCAGCCTCTGCTTCTCTGCATCTGAAATGGCCGCCTTCCCCCTCATCTCGTCCACCGCAGTCTCCAGAGCCCTTTTCTCTCTGGTGGCAGGGGAGGCGGAGGGTTGGGGCAGCCCCAGGACTGGATCTGGGGAAGGGGAGCTGAGGGACATCCCCTAGGTAGAGTCAAACATAAGGGGAGTCCCAGGAGCATGGCAGGGCCAGGTGGACGCCAGGCCAGGGGGTCACAGAGGGCAGCACGCTGGGGAAGCATGGTGGGGGACAGAAGAGACCCAACCAGCTCGGGCTCTGGCAGGCCGGTCCCCTCCTGGAGGTCTTCTCTGAGCCCTGAAAGCACTCAAGGGTCCTGCTCCCTGGTGTGTGCCGTGCTCAGCTCTCTGCCACACAAAGGCCAATTTCAGCTAGTCCTTGCAGAGCTCAGCGGGAAGGAAGGGACCCCTCGTCTGCTGGCACCCTGTTCACCTTGTCCCATAGGAGCCCTGGGCTCCTGGAGGTGTAGCAGCCTTGTGCAAAGCTGTGCTCACAGGCTGACCCACCCCGGGTCCTCTCAGCATGCCACCCCTCAGCCAGGAATCTGGACTTCAGCTGCTCCCCCTCGGGCTCTGGCCCCTGAAGCACCCAGTCCCGAAGCCTCCCTTTCCCCAGTGCCCGTGGGATCTGGCCCCTCTGCCCCACACGCTCAGATGCCCACCCACGCAGGACCCCTGTCCGGCTGCTGCAGCTTGCCCCCCAGCAGCCAGACCAGCGCTTCCAAGCCATGGGTGTAGGAGGCAGTGCCCCCTGCTAATAGCCGCCCGGCCCCTACTGCCCTCTGCTCCATGGGGAGAGGGTCCCCCAGCCTCACCCTGCTCATCATCGCAAGGCTCTGTGCTCCCCCACCTCGGCTCCTGTCTGCCCCCGGGAAGGCCTCCCCCCGTCAGAGGAAGGCTTCGGCCCTCCAGGTACCCTCCTCCTCCACCACTCCGTGCCACACCCCATGTCAGGCTCAGCTCCTCTGCCCTTGTCTTTCCCTGGGCAAGCGCCCTGATCCTCCAGCCCAAGCCTGCTGGCCTCCCACGTCCCAGCTCAGGCAGCCTGTGGCTTTGGGAAGTCCCACCTATCCCCTCACTCAGGACTAGGTGTCCGAGGAGATTCTTGTCCTGTGCTTCCCAAATCCCACCAACCCCAGGGCAGTAAGATGCCCACAGAAGCCTCCAGAAAGCCTCATGGCGAACTGTACCACAGGTCGCTAGATCCACAGGGCAACCCAGGAGGGTTCTCAAGCGACCCCAATGCATGTGGAGGGAAGGGAGTTTGGGGGGATTTATGGACCATTTCTGAAGGATGGACAGACCCTTGGGAGGAGTCCTGGGAGTCAGACAGGAGGCGGGAGGCTAGAGAGAGAAGTGGGGCACAGAGGCAGTCTGAGGGAGGCAGGGCATCCGCTGAGCCCCGGCTCTGGGAAGGTGTGTCCTGGGCAGAGGCAGCCCAGGTGGGCCCAGCTGAGGGCAAGGAGACTCAGAGCAGGTGGGTGGCCGTGGGCCTGAGGGGACAAGGGAGGGGGCCTCGCCAGGAGCAGTTTTGGTCCTGGAGGTGGGGCCCCCTCTCTCCCTGCTGGCAGCACCCCTGGGCTGGCACTGCCTGGCCTGACCCACTCAGCCCTCCCGTCACCTTCGCAGGAGCTCGATGGTTGCCCGGCAGTGCTGTGCCTCCCGGCTCTGCATCTCCAGCTGGCGCAGGAGGTCCTCGCGCTCCCGCCCCTGCTCCTGCGCCCGCTCCTGGAGGAGCCTCCTGGAGGCCTGCAGCTCCTGCTGGCTCTCAGACAGCTGCTCCCGGAGTCTGGCGGCCACCGCCTGCGACAACTCCAGTTGCAGGCGCAGCTCCTGCCCGGGATGGGGGTGCAGCATGAGCCCCCGCTGACCCTTGACCAGACTCTCCCCAGAAGGATGCCCTCAGGACCAGAGCCAAAACTCCCTGGCCTCGAAGATGCACCGGCTGTGTCTAGACCCTTCCCCGGAGCACACACACTTCCTTCTCAAAGGCCCCCGGCTCCCTGTGCTGGCACCCAGGCCGCCCTCCCTGTGGCCCCCAGGGATCCAGCTCTGGGAGAGCCACAGCAGGCCTAGAATGGCACTTTGGCCCTGGTGGGGATCCGGGCACAGCTTTGCCCCTGTGGGCCGTGGGTGCCCACCTGTTCCAGACGCTGCCGCCTCTCGATGGCTGTCTGCACAGCCTGCAGTGCAGGCTCCGGGGTGTCCAGGGGGTGGGCCCGCAGTGGGGACATGCCCCGGTAGGGGGACACAGAGCGTGCGGGCCACCCCTGCTGGCCCCGTGCCTCCTTGGCGCCCGTCCCACCGCTCTGTGCCGGCTCCGGGCCCCCGGCATCCGCCTGGGCCACCTTCAGGGTACGGAGAGGAGGAGACAGAGGGAAGGAGCTCAGGGCTATGGCCATGTGGGGACCCTCCAGATCCCGTGAGTGGTCAGCCCTCAGGACCCCAGCGCCTCAGCTGCTCTCCCGTGGGAAGGACCGAGGGCCTGCACCTCTGTGATGCTCTTCAGAATGCGCTGCAGGGACTGAACTTCCTCCTCCAAGGCGTCCAGCTGGGCTCCAGGGCTCCGGGCCTGCCATGGCCGGAGCAGCTGCCTCAGCAGGGCTGGCCCCGCACCCCCACCCTGGGCTGGCCCCCCACGGAGAGCCGCTTTCCCAGCCCTGCGCACCAGCTTCTGAATCTGTGTTCTGAGGGAAGAGAGGGTGGTCTCCTTCTTTGAGTTTTCCTCTGTGAGCTTCTCCACCAGCAGGGTCTGCTCGGAGAGTCTGGAGAAAAGGTGGGGCTGGGGAAAGGGTTGTCGGAGCAGAGAACAAAGCCCAGCACGTGGACACGGGGGCGCCCACAGAAGTGCAGGCTGTGTCCAGACTCCCCTGTGGTGCAGCCTACACCCCGGCTTTGGGCGAGTTGGCCTTGGTTCCTTGTCTGGGCAGGAACTTCTCATCTGCTCCAGAACCATCAGTGGCCCCTGCCGTCTCTGCAGAATCAGAGTTCAGCATTCCAGGCCCCCACCACTACCATGACTGGCTCTCCAGCATCATAGCCAGTGGCCCCCTGAGGCCATGCCCCTGTCCTTCCACCGAAAGTCTAACAAGTTATGTCACTATCCCTTCCTTCCCAGGAGCCACCTCCTTCTCAGAGTCCTCTGGGTCCCCCTTCCCGTGGCCCTGCATCTTTGGTGCAGTTCCTGGGGTGCAGTCGCTGCAGGCTACCATGCTCCTTTGGGGCTGGTCTGGGGTTCTTGGACTCAGCTGGCTCCCTGAGGGCAGGCCTGCAGGTATCTGTGGCCAGGCGGTCCTCGGTTCTGAGGAATTGTGCTTGGATTCAGCAGGTTAGGCCTCCCCTGGGGCATTGCCTCCCCACTGTCTGCTGGAGCTGCTCTCCTGAAATTTCTGAGCTGCCAATGTAGCTCTGTCCAAAACCTCGTGGGCTTGTTCTGAGCCTCGCAGACCCCAGGAGAGGCCCTGGTCTCTTCTGCACCAGGAGTATACCTGGGCCCCTCCATCTCCCTCAGCTTCTTAAATGCTCTACCTCCAAGCGGGTGCCCACCTCTGCAGGGATGTGTTCTCTGCCGGAGAAGTCCCTTCTGGGAGCCAGCCAGGAGGACACCGTCCAGATGTGCCCCTGCCACATTCCCCGAAACCCTCAAAGTTCGGGCGTTCTAGCTTGGCCTCTGGGGCATGGTTCGGGATGCAGGAGCTCACCTTGGGGACCATCCCTTTGGTGCCAGCAGCGTGTGAGGTGCCCTGATGTGGGAGTACTGGATGCGGGTCAGGAGGCAAAGCAGCACGGGCGTGTGCGTGAGCCTTGGACCCGCTGCTGCTCAAGGTGGGGAGGGGTAGGTGTCCCACCTCCAAGCTTGCTGTCCCTAGCACCCACCTGGCCTGGAGCGCCACCTTCTCTGCGTCCCAGTGGCCCTGCAGCTGGAGCATCTCCCGCACCTTGTCCCGTAGCTGCCGCTCCAGCCATGCAGCCCGCTGGGCCCCCGGCTCCAGGCTGCCTGGCCCGCTGCCAGCAGACAGCCGCAGGTGGGAGTCAAGGTTCAGGCAGGCTGTTTGCAGGCGCCAGGCCATCCTGGCTGCCTCCGCTCGCATGTCCGTGAGACCCCTGCGAGGCAAGGGCGGCACCCCCAGCTGAGCCTCAGGACCCAAGGTCATGAGCCGCCCAGATGGGCAGGATCCGGTCATGTGGGCCCTTCTTTCTGCCCACAAGACCTCTCCCCTGCCATCCTCAGAAGCCCCCAGCACAAGGCCTGGATTGTGGCCACATCCCAGCCAGGGAAGGGGAGCGGGGGCTGGGCCAGGCCAGATAGGACCGCCTCTCTGACCTGCTGAGCCTGTCTCCTGCTGACATGCACTTCAAGGATCCCAGAGCAGAGGGATCCGAGGGGCCCCAACACTCTGCCTAGGGATACCCTCTCTGCAGCATCTCCCAGCTGGCCTGCCCCCTTGCCTTCTCTCCCCTTGCACCCCTGCCTACCTCACTCTGTCTGTGCTTCTCCCCCATCGCCCACCTCTCCTGTCCATTCCTCTGCACCCACAAGGTCAACCTGATGCCCCATGTCCCCCACCCTGGTAGGCCCAGTGCCCGCACCTCTCTGTGGTCGCACGCAGGTCAGCCAGCTGTATGCGGAGTGCGGTGACCTGTCTCCACAGGGGAAGGAGTTCCTGGGGCCCCCCTGAGCGTGGGCGTATGCTCTGAAAACAAGAGGCTGGGGTCTGCTTCAGGCGTGGGTGGTGTGAGGAGCCCTGCAGCCCCTCCCCACAAGTCCCTCTTCCAGATGCCAAGCTGGGTTGGCAGCCACGGCAGGGAGCAGACCCACAGGGAGCAGCCCGTGGTCCTGCAGCTCCCTTTCCCATGGGCTTACCTTCTCAAATAATGCAAATCCCCTGCTTTCTGGGGTGTGGTGCTCACTCCCCCACCCTGAGGACCTGGACCTGGGCAGGTGACCATAGCTGGGTCCTGCCTGGGACCAGGACTCACCCAGCCTGGTCTCCCTGCAGCCCTCCGCAATTGGGTCACCTCCCTCCCCCAGTGCAGGGAGGGGAGCTCCCCTTCCTCCCCCAGCACCAAGAGAGCAGCTCTGGGGGAGCCCATAACATGTCCAGCTGTGGGGCTTGGTCCTCGAAGGTGCCAGGGACCCAGAAGCCTCTACCACTTGGAGCTCACAGAGGGGAGGTTGCAGAAGCTGCCCGCTGAGACAGGGCTAAGTGAATTCGGGTAGTAATGGGGAAGCAGGAAGCCACTGCAGGACTGTAGGGGTGGGAGAGGGGACAGAGCTGGGGGCAGTAACAGGATGGAGCCATGTACGTCCAGCGGTGTCTGCCTTCCAGGGAAAGGAGCTGAAGCCCAGGGGTCCTGAGTCTCCACACCACCTTCCCTGGCCCCGAACTTGGCTGTGCCCTGAGTGCTGACCTCCTGCACTTCCAGAGGGCGCAGCACGTGCCCAGCGCTGCCCCGCACTCCCTCTGCCCTCCCTGCTTGTTATAGGTGCCCCTGGAATGCTGCTTTCCGACAAAGCGCCCTCACTTCCTCCGGCTTTCAGGACACATACACCCTCTCTCCTTCATGAAGCCTTTGCCATCCCCTGTCCTGATCCCACATCCGAGGCCCCCCCACTGAGCCCAGGAACACTTGGCTGTGTGCCCCCAAGTCCTCCGTGTGCTTGCCCAGCCCACCGACCCCCCATCGTGATCATCAAAGAGCAGGGATTAGACCTGCCCCCTGGAGGAGCGGATGCCTGGCCTGGCTGCCCAGGAACTTCAATTAACTATGTTAGATTCCAGACTTCACAGCTTCCGGAATGCAAGGCCGGGCTGGCTGATGTGGGGAGGAACAGTCACGCCAGGAACCGGCGAGGTCAGGAACACGAGAGCAACACAGGCAACCTCCTGCCAAACTCAGTAACTCGAACACATTTCCTTGACCACAGTGGCTCCAGGGACCGAGAGAGAAGCCTGGGGCCCATCCAAAGGGGGAGTCTGCCCACACTCAGGAGTGAGAACTCAAAGCTGCTTTCCAAGTTGGGGTGCCAGCGAGGACTGACCAGAACCCTTGTGCCCACATACACACGCGAGCACACGCACAGCCCTGCCTGCAGGGTGCCGTAAGGAGGTACCGTGGATGGAATGTCTGCGTGCCCTAAAATCTGAACGTTGAAACCTAATCCCCAGTGGGATGGGGTTGGGGGTGAGGCCTTCAGCTTCCACCCTCATGATGGAGTTAGTGCCCTTGTGAAAGGGGCCCTGGGGAGCTCCCTTGCCCCCTCCACTGTGCGTGGGTTTGTGTGTGTTCATAGTGAGAAGGAGCTGTCCCCTAGCTGCACGCTGAATGGCCTCACACCTTGACCTCGGACTTCCTGTCTCTAGAACTGTAGAATTAATGTTAGCATGACATAAGTTTCAGTCTGTGGTTCTGTGACAGCAGCCTGATGGTAAGATGCGAAGGAAAAATATCTTCCCTATGGATATGGGGTCCCAAGTCAGCCTATATGCAGTTTTCAGTCTGAATTCATACAACCTGGGGTTTAAAAAGGACTCAGGCTGAAAATTTACTTCACTGGGCCCCAAAGACTGTCAGATCCCCTATGCACCTGTCAGAAGCAAACAAAAATCCCTTCTGGAAGATGCCACCTCCTTTCCAGGTTGCAAAGAACTTTCACAAAGTTCTAAGAAAAATAAACAGCTCTTGGTTTAAAATTAAAAAAAAAAAAATCTCTAAAGACACAAGGAAACAGAGCACTATGGTTAAGAGCCAGAAGGAACAATAGAATCAGACCTTAAGGAACTTGAGATGTCGGAACATCAAACACAATGGAGAACATACCTATTTTCAGGATGCCTCAGCAAGTAAACAAGAAGCTTGAACATGTGAGTTAAGAGTAAGATATTTGGGAAAGAATCAACCAGAATTCTTAAAGATGAAAACCAGGATATTTGGAATTTAAGCAAAGCAGACAGGGATTAACAGTGCTTGGACACCAGAGACAGACATGCTGACCAGGTAGGTGTATTTGAAGACATTGACTCGACTACAAACCAGGGTGACACAAAGAAGACATGCCAGGTTCAGAAGGCTGAGGGAGTCAGGGGTCCTGAGAGCAGTGGGCCTGCTCGGAGTCGGGAGGAGCGAGGATGAGCACAGGCAACACTCAGAGATGTGAGGGCTACTTTCCGAAAGTAACAAAGACACAGCAGATGAGTCCGAAGCAGAATAAATAGAAAGAAATCTGCACAGAGACACACCCTAGTAAAACCTCAGGACCTCAAAGTCAAAGCCAGGATCTTAAAGCTGTCAGGTGGGAGGACAGATACCATCAAAGGCCCTGGGGGCCAACCTCCTGCCGGAGGACAAAGAAAGGGTCTTTAAAGTACTGAGAGAGAACACCTGCTGACCAGCGAGACTTCCTCTCACGGCCCAGGGGGAGATGAAGACCCTTGACCAGCCAGTCCAAGCTGAACTAGAGACCTGTCTTCCAGGACATTCATCTCCGCTCGGTGGGCCCAAGTCCAGCCACAGGAAGAGGTGGAAGCAGGGACGTGGGGCTGCCTCTCACAGGCCCTCTGCCGCATGCAGGGGCCGGCCCTGCTGTCAGCCACCACCCTGTGGTGACCGACACGGCCCTCTCAGTGACATGTGTAAAGGCGCACTCTTCCTCTGTTGCTCCTCCCCGTCCACTCAGCAGGAGGTCCACCCAGCCTTCCATGGAACAACAGCCACAGATGGCTGGGCACGGGGGATAAGCCCTCCTGTGTGGCAGCTGTGGCCCGGGCCTGCGGGGGCCCAGCCAGCTGTCCTTTCCGCCTGATGCTGGTCGGACAGTGCAGGATGGCCCCATGAGGTGGGTTCTTTTGAGGGACATCTGTGTGGGGTCAGCCTGGGGCCCAGGGACACTGGACCCCCTTGGCTTTGGCTTTCACCTGGAAGCATTTTCCAGGTGGTGTCTGAGAGGAATCCTGCCAGTGGTGTCTAGGAAGGCCATGGGGACACCTGACCCTCCCTTTGGGATGACCACAGCTACAGAGGCCCACCTTGCCCCAGGCTGGGCCCCTTTCAGGGGACTGTGTCCAAGGACAGACCAGAGCAGAGGTGTGAATGCCTCTTTTCACTCAGGGGCCACAGCCTAGCCATGGGAAGACCTGGATCAGACAGGGGAGTGGGGCGTCATCTTTCCCAAGCATCTCTCCCAGCTCACATCAGGGGTCTTGCCGTTAGAGAACAGCCCTGAGGCTGTGGCCTGGGGCACTGTGCCCTGAACCCCTGCAGGGCTTAGGGTTTCAGAAGACTGTGATCAGGCAAGGCCTGGGAGGGCCCTGCTGGCACTGGCCGTGGGCTGGGAGCAATGGCGTGGCTCCTGGCTCCTCCGAGTGTCCCCGACCCTGCAGTCCGAGCAGGAGTCAGGCCTACGAGCTCGCCTTCTCTTTCAAGAATGGGGCAGGCTGTGCAAGAGCAGGACCCTGTGCCCTCATTCTACTTTCTGAGTCTGATCTTGAGGTCCCGCCTATTCTCAAGTCCCTCCCTCCTCCGGTGCCCCCACTCTGTAGACTGCTGTGGCCAAGCTGGGTGGGGAACGTGGGATAGCAGGAGGTCAGTGGCCTTGCCTTCCAGGAGCAACCACAGCGAGAACCAATTCACCCTCTCCCAGCCCCCCTCTGCATCCTCCCTGCCACCAGCCACAAACACTGGAGCCCGTGTCCCCCGCCCACGGGCGCAGTGGGAGAGCACCTGTCTACCAGTCCAGCGCTGGGCCTCCCTCAGCTCCAGCTCGCCCCGAAGATGGAGCATGCCATCCGCCGTCCTGGCCAGCTCCTCGGCCAGCCTGTCGTTGGCCTTCTTCACCTGTTCCAGCTGTTCCCGCAGAAGGGCGTTCACCTGGGAGAGCCCCGTGCTCCTGGATGGGCCGAAACCACAGCAGCGTGACAGTGGGCAAGTGGCTTCTCCTTTGAAAGGCTCTCTGAGAGCCCAGCCCTATGCTTCCTGGGCCTGGCTGACCCAGCTCGGTGTGAAGGTCCCCAGGCCACACCTAAGAGACACGGACCACCTGCCACGGGTCCCCCACAGCTCCCCAAAGGGTGCCAGTATCTGAGTGCCCCCAGCACCCTCCTCCGTCTCTGAGATGCCTGCTCTCCCTCTCCTCCCATGCTGAGCGCTCCTGGCTGTGCTCCATGAGTGTGGCTGGCTCCGTCGCAGGGGCCGTGAGCCCTGAGACACACGAGAAGGTTGGCACTGGGAGCTGAGGGCACCAGGCCTGGGAGGAGGGCACGGGGCAGTGGAGAAAGGGAGTCTACACGCCCTGGGAAGGGGGCAGACCCCCTGTGACCATGGGGTCCTTTCTCCACTGAAGCCGGCTGTGTGGGGTGGAGTGTCTCTCTGAGATCCAGCCCTTCCAGGCAGGCTGCAAGGCCACAAAAGGGACCTTCTGAGCTCCTCTTTGCAACCTGGGCGTCCTCTCCTCCTGGGCTGTGACCCCTCCCCCCTCCCCCGCTGTTTTTGAAAACTGGTTTTCAAAATGCTTCTCAGCACTTTCCTTCCATTTCCAGAGTCCCTGAGGATGAAGCAAGTAATGGGAAGTATTCCATAAATGTTCTAACCTCCCCCAGGTCTGGATTTGCCGCTGGGCTCAGGGGTGTAACCCCTCCTGTCTGTCTTCCCTGCGGTGTGGAGATATGCCCTTCCCTTCTGGGGACGGGGTCCTGGAGCTTGGGGATCAGGGCCACTTCTGGAGAGCTGGGGTTACCACCGGGAGGCTAGGGCACGACACGCACTGGCTGCTGGTGAGCAGAGGAGTCCCTGACCATGCAGCCGAGGGGACCTGGGAGGCAGGGCCAGAACATGAAGAAGGGGTTCTTGAGGGCAGCCCCCATGGGCACCCCGGGACTGGCTGCACTAACAGGGGCCACAGTCAGCTCAGGGGCCTGCCTGCAGAGCTGGCCAGGGCACCAGCCTTGGCGTCATCGGGGGCCTGGAGGGGGCACACTCAGCAGCACAGGGCCTGTGAGACCCTCAGACCTGTGGGACCTGCACCCCACACCTGAGGCCACAGCCGGTGGGACCCCTCCCCACCCTGCTCTGCCCGCTCCTTCCACTGCCTCTGAGGCCTGCAGCCAACGTGTCCAGGCAAATTTGACTTGGAGTCACTTTAGGAAGAGACTGGCCAAAGGCCCCAAGGCACAGTGGGGTCTGCCACCTCTGGGGTGACGGCCCAGCTCCCAATAGCCTTGACTGCCTCATACATCCCGACTCACCTCTGCTCAGCAGCCTCCAGACGGCCCAAGGCCTCCTTCAGGTCCACGCTGTGCTCCAGCTCGGACCTCCGCAGCCGAGCCTCCGTGCTCTCCAGGCGGGCCTGTAGCTGGAGAGGAACAGAAGCCCCCACCTGGCCAGTGGCTCCCCAGCCCCCAGGCGGGGCGGCTGTGGATAAAGCCCTCCCCAAGGTGGGAGAAGGGGTGTCCCTCCGGCTGCCAGCAGGGGCCTGCTGAGGCTCAGGCCCCTCCCCACAAGGGGGCCGTGGCACAGGCATTCGCCCCTGACCCTATGCCCAGTGCCTGTGGCTGGCTGAGGAGGGGTCTCCAGGGCCTGCTTCGTAAGGGGCAGGATGGCTGAACTGGGGTCACTCTCCATTGAGAGAGCTGAAGATAGGGGTCCCGCCACTCCAGCTGCACCCCTCCCCCACCCCAGTGCTGGAATCTGCGTTCCGAGTGTCTCCTCTCACAGGTGGGCAGGAGCATGGCCACCACCACGAGTGGGCTTCGTACCCCCACAGGCCTGGTGGAGAGAGGGGTCGTCTGAGCTGGACCAGGCCTGCCTCAGAGCCTGTGTCCTTCCTGGCTCCCTGCTGGGACCTGAGCAGATGGGGAGCCTGGAGCTCCAAGGGGAACAGGAGGTGCCAGGGGTTGCCCTCAGCTTGCTGACCCAGAGCACACTTTGGGGTGTCTGGGGAGGAGAACTCAGGTCCAGTGGGCAGGCTGGAGGCCTGGGCAGGGGCTGGGGGTGTCCACAGAGCAGGTACACTGGCCACCCTGACCCCCGCCCCACCCTGTCCATCTGCTCGGGGGTGATGCTGGGGAGGCCTGGCCCCTTCAGGCGCCTGCACAAGGGGGAGGCTGGACGCCCGCGGGAGCCGGCCATGTGCGCTGAGCTGCGGGGTCTGGGAGTTCAGTTCTGACTCATGAGGCTTACTAATCTGTCCGCAGGATTTCTGGCTTCTCTTCCCACCCCTGGTTCCCAACATCTCCCCACCCTGTGCTAGGAAGGTCCCCCACCCCCACAACTGGGCCCAGGCCACAGACAGCCCTGGAGGGCTGGAGCTTGCTGATGTCCTCCTGGCCCTGACGGGGATGAGGACACCGACCCTCGTGGTCCTGCCCTGAGGGGTGCAGTAGGGGTGGGGCAGCGGGGAGAGCGGGTGTTTAGTGTGGGGGCTGGTGATGCCCTTGGGTAGCTGGCATGGGTCACTGGTCATGCTCAGAAGGGCCAGCCCTGGTTCAGTCTCGGCTCCAACACGGGCAGCACAGCCCTCGGCAAGTCTGGCTGCTCTGAGGAAAGTGGGGTCATCTATCCTGCCACGTAGTGCAAGGAGGACTCTGAAGACAGCAAGGGTAGGGTGGGCCAGATGCATCGGAGGCCCTGAGCACCCCACACTGGGACCGGGCATCCTGGCTCAATCCCACTCAGGAGCCATGGGGCTCGGAGGGGCAGACCCTGGAAAAAGGCTCAGGCCTGGCAGACTTCCTCAGCTTTCTGGCATGGGTTCCCACCTGAACAACAGGAGCTCTCCCAACTCCACACTTTATAACCACATGGCCTCTTGCTGCGGCGGAAGGCACTGTAAGTGCTCTGGGGACCGAGGACTGAGGACCCACTGGTCACAGCTGTCCTCTGAGGTCTGTGGTGGCCTTGATTGTCAGGAAAAGGTCAGGGGGGGCAAAGCCAATTCTCTACAGGCTCTGTCTGAGGGTTGGGGCCCATTCCTAGCAGACCCCAAAAGTGAGGTGCTGGGGCCAAAGGCTCAGGATGACCAGGTTCTCCCCACAAAGCCCCCAGGCAGCCAGGACACAAGTCCACACTTCAGAGACCAGGGGAGAGGAGCACTAGGAGGAAGAGGGGCCTGGACACCCATCCTGTTCTCACCCTCCCCTCTCCAGCCCGTTTTCCGGTCTGTGGCTTGGGGTTTGGTTTAGTGCTGTGGCTGAGGTCTCCTGTCACTCTGTGTCCTAAGACTCAACAATGGTCCAGGCCCTCTGACCACCAGTCCCAGCAGGTGACCGCCCTGCCGCAGGCCAGGCTGCCGCCTTCTGCTTGTGCCCACATACCCGGGGCACATGCTTACCCGCTCACTGAGTGCATGGTACCTGCCGGCCAGCTCATCCTGCTCAGAGCCTGCCTGGGTCAGCAGGTTCTCCAGCCTGGACAGCTCCTCCTGCAGGAGCTCGTTCTCCTCCTGCACACGGGCCGCGACGGCCAGCGGCTCCTGTGTTCCTGGACAGGTAGCACCAGTGTCAGCCCGGGTGGCTGAACCAGGGTCCCCCTATCTCCTCAGCCACCGCACCCTGTCCGGTGGGCCTCTGGGCCCCACACTGGGCTCCCATGGCTGGTCTGCCCTGCTCTTCCAGGAGGGTCCCAGGTCTGACCTGGGGACCCTGGTTGGGAGATGTGGGCTTCATGCTCCAGGCCTTCTTCCCTCTCCTGCTGGAGGACTGGCCACTGACGGCTGCCCTACCTCTTACCCACATCTCTAACCCCAACACAGTCCCAAACCAATTAGAGTGGAGGGTGTGGGAGTGGCCTGGACTCTGGGGACCCCCGCCCCCTGTGAAGCAGTGAGAACTACTGATTTGGGGTAACCGGATCACATCTGAATAGTGAGCAGCTTTTCTAAGCACACAGTGGGCTTTCTTCTTCCTTGGCACACACCTTTTGTGAGTGACTGGTTCCCTCAGGAGGCTGGACAGACCCTGACTACAGAAAGGGGTCTCAGGACACATACATGAGGGAGTCACCTGCACTAGCAAGGGCCAAGTGGCCTGATCAGCTGGGTGGCCTGCTGTGGGGACCCAGCTGGGGGCCAGTCCCTCAGCTGCAAAGCCTCTACTTGTGGCAGGGGATGGGGGGAGGTCTGGGTGAGCAGAGGTCTGGAGGGGACCTGCGGGCTGGGTGAGCAGAGGGCTGGGCAGGCTGGGGGGACTAGCTCAGTGTCTGTGCTTCCTGGGTTTTGACCTTCAGGATTTTCACTCATCTAATGAAACAAATACGATGAAATCCAGATGGCTGGTCACAAATGTGTCACAAACAGAAATGCAGCGCTGGAGAGTCCTTGTGGCCTTGTGGTCAATATGCTGTGGGTCTTGACATAGGACCCCTGTGGTGACCCCTGTGGGAGGGTGTGGTTCTGTGCCCCATCACACCGCAAGATGACTGGCCTGGAGGGGCCCCTCGGACACTATGGGGCCGGTGAGGAAGCTGATAGCCCTGTGGCTCCCCTGGTGCTCACCCCCACCTCCATCATCACCCCCACCACCGTCCATCACCTTGGTGTGGTTCGTCCCCCAGGCTGCCAGCCACGATCTCACGGATTCGGGCGGGCACAGGCGTGGGCAAAGCCCGCCGGCCTGCCCCACGAACGGTCAGTGTCCGGGCTTCTCTAGTGGCCATGGGACTCAAGACAGTGTCCTCCAGCCTCTGAAAAACAGCCATGAAGACACACTGGAGGCTGGCAGCCTCCTGGACAGCTGCCAAATACCTCCCCACAAGCCCACTGGGGTTAGTGGGGCCACCGCAGGGCTCCCCCGTCCCCAGCAGCAGTGCCCTGGAAAGGACTGCCTGAGGCTATCTCCCAAAGTACATGCCTTGGTTTCTCTACCTGCAGGGTGGAACAGCACCCTGCCTGCCTGGGATGTGTCCTGAGCCTTGGGGGCCAGGAGGACACATAGCCTAGCTGCTCACGAGTGCCCTGCCCTCTGGCCCTGCTCCATCTCTGTGGGGGCCGGGCTGAGTGTTCATACTGGGCCCCTCCAGAGAAACTTGGAGGCAGTTGCCCTTGCTTCGGTTATGGGACCCGATCTGGCACCCCCCTGCAGCACACAGTCTCACCACTTTGGCTATGGGGGTTTCTGAGAGGGACTGGCAACTTGTAAGAACCTAGACCCACCCACCTACCTCCCTGCCCACCAGGAAGGGCATGAGGAGGCCCTGGGAGAGGGCAGGACAGGAACCAATGGAGGGGCTGTGGGAGGAGAGTGATGACAGCCTTCCTTCCTAGCCTGTCCGGAGTAGCTGACCTGCTGTGGGAGATGTCTCAGGAGGCCTGGAAGCAGGCAGGAAATCCCAGGGTCCTGGATACCCAGAGGCTGGGGCTGAGGGGTCCTGGGCTCTGCTGGCACATTGCTTTGGCCCTGGGGATTCTCTGCATCATTAGGTGAGCAGAGCTGGGGGAGGGCCGGGCATCACCCTCCAAACCCCGGGCTGGACAGGGCCCTTCTTGCCGGGTCTAACTGCGGCACTGGCCCTGGGAAGGACATTCAGGGGCCTGCGCCCTTTCTGGACATGTGAGGCTTCCCAGGGGATCCTGGAGACAGATGTCTGCTCCCAGTGACTCTCCAGGGCTGCAAACCGGGCTCCTCCTGTCACCCCCTACCCAGTCCCAGATGTGCTCAAACTCACCCCTCCTCTAGCTTTCAGGATCCCTTTCCTTGTGGTCCCTCAGAGCCTGCTCGCCCACCCTGTGACTCTCCAGATCTCCCTCCCAGCCTGGGGTCCCAAGGAGTGACCTCCTACTGCCGGTCCCCTCCCTCCTCTGATTTCCTCCTAGCTCTCTCTGAAGACCTTCTCCAGGTTCAGACCGCTTCACCTGGCTCTGTCCCTCAGCCCCTGGCTGGTTGGGGTGGAGGGCTTCCTGGGCCTACCCTGCCCACTCCACTGCCCTGGTATTTCTGCCCACATGCCTCCAATTCTCCCTGGACACAAGGCATGTTCCACTTGGACCAGACTGCAAGAGTCACCCCCAGACCTGGGCTCCTGCACGACACTTGGTAGGGCCCCGTTCTGATCCCCAACAGCAGCCCAGTTCCTGGACCATCATTGAGCAAATACCACTGACTGACTTCCACTGCCCTCCCCCTGGAGCGAGAACCCTAGTTTTGGCCCACCTGGGACCCAGCCCTTCTTCAGGCTGGAGCCTTGCTTTGCAGGATGTTTGAGTTTGACTCAGCAGGGGGCCTTGGGAAAGCGCCATCCCCCCACATCTCCCCCAGATGACCCCCTTCAATATTACCCCGGGTGGGAGGTGAGCAGCCTGCCTTGGGGGCTGGGAGGACGTGCTTGCTACCCTTTCTGGGCCAAGCAAGGCACGGGTGCCAAGACCATCAACCGCCTCTAATGTCTTCCTGGGAGGCAAGGCGGCTGAAGGGGCTCAGCCTTTGTCTGCCCTGAACCCTGTATTTGCACTCGGGGGAAACTGAGGCTCAGCGGGGTAGCGAGACCCACCCCGGGCCCCGCTGTAAGAACAATGAACTCCAGGAAGTTCTCCCTCCGAGGCCCGGAACGGCTCTGCCCCTTCGCCCTCCCCCACCCTCCCCGCTCCCTTGGGCATCCGAGGCGCCACCCGCTAACGGGAAGGCAGCAGCGCCGCATAAACTTGACTCATTCCTAACATTTACAGAGGGTCACTTATTAGCCGAGACGTCCCAAGAGGCGCTGGGGGCGTAATGGGTTCCAGCTGTGGCCGGGTGCCTGCGATGGACCGTGGCCCAGCTGGAGCCGAGGGGGCGCGGCTGGGGGCGCGCGGAGGGGAGGGACCGTGGGGTGTTGAGGGCGGGGAAGGGGCAGGCCCGGAAGGGGGAGGGGAGGGGCAGGAGGGGAGGGCGGGCCGGCAGGGGGAGGACCGGGAGGGGGCGGGTCCGGGAGGGGAAAGGGAAGAGCCAGGAGGGGGCGGGGCCAGGAGAGAGGCCTGGTCTCCATCCGGGGCGGATCGCCGGGCCTCGCGGACCTGGGGGCAGGACCTCGCTGCTCTCTGCCTGTTCCGGGCAGCCTTGAGTCTGGCCCAGAGAGGCTGCTCACTCCGCCCCGGGACCCTCCTCCCCAGCTGGCTATTTGTGGCTTGACTCCGGTGACTGGGCGTCAGCGTGTCCCGGCAGTGCACAGGGAGACTTCGGGCTATCCCACTCCCCGCCCGGTCCCGTACTCTCAGACCGTCGGAAGGCTGGACATCGGTTTCCCCAAAGACCTCAGACTCATAGTTGAACCCAGCCATTACCCTTCCTCCTGCCCCCAGCGCCCTCCTCAGCTCAACTTGCACTAAAGGCGAGCTCCCAGCCCCTGTGTGGCCCTGTCCATGGAAGCAGATACCCGCCTACGGGGCCAGGCACCCCTTGGTCACGGTCACTGCTCCGCTCCCCACCGCAGCTATGTGGAGGGGATAGCCTGCACGCGTAGGAACCTGGGCTCCCCTATCTATCCCCCACCCCGGATCAGAGTAGGATTCCCCATGAGAATCGGGCTGGGGTCCCTGTCCTGCCACGGCCAGCGCAAGCTGTGACCCTGGGTGTGTCTTCTGCCTCAGCTCCTCCTTTGTGAAGTGGGAGGGGGCATCCTAGAGCCCTGGGGGTGCTGCAGCTCTGTGGAGGGTGCGGTGTGGAGTCTGCGGGACAGGAGGCCTCTCCGGAGGGCAGGTGACCTTGTAGGTCAGGAATGGAAATCACGAAGAGCAATGTCACTACTTCCTCTTGCTGGGGCAGCATCAGTAAGTCCCTGAGTGGCCCCTCTGGACGTCCAGGCTGCTAGGGACACGGGGACACAGACAGCCTATGACCCAGGCGGAGAGAAGGATGGGTTCACAAGAGGAGCCTGGCATCTTCAAGATGGAGAAGGTGAGGCACCCTGCACCCGACTGAGGGGGATCTTTGGGTGCCCCAGAGTGAGCCCAGGGGCGGTTAGGGAGGGGCACCAGAACCTCTGATTAAAATCACCCTGGGAGAGAGCGTCCTGAGGACGATCCCAGCTCAGCCAGGTCACAGGCTGCAGCGTCCTGAGGCAGCAGCAGACCTAGGGAGGGAGTGAGAGTCCAGGGGCTGTCCTGGGTCGCTCTGCGCGTGGACCGCCCGCCGCTGCCAGGGCCTGGCGGCCGAGCTCCCACAGTGCCGCCGTGTGGCCGCTAGCGGCACTGCAAGAGGTTGCGCCTGTCCCAGCCCTTGAGCTAGGAGGCTGCGGCAGGGGGTGGGAGACGTGCAAGGGTGCAGGGCTCACTGGCCCCTCCGAGAAGCCGAGAAGTGAAGGTCAGGTCGGGAGCCCGTATGAGTGGAGTGAGGCAGGGCACTCACCACTGAGGATTTCTTAGCGAACATTGTCACACCCACTCTTGTCTACTTTATGGGTGAGGGGGCTCCCCCAAGGTCATGCACTCACAAAAGGCAGTGTTAGGACTGAGCCACCTGTTGGTCCTGGCACCTTCCTGGTGGCTGGAGACTGGGTCTCAGCAGGCATGCTGGCCTCAGGTGTCCTCCCCAGTGTGGCACGTCCCTGAGCCCAGGCAGATGGGCTCTCGAGGCCCCCGCCCCTGTTCTCCTCCCTGTGTGCCCACTCCAGCCCTCCCACACCTGTGGGCACCACAGGCCTTCCCACATCCCTTGGCAGCAGGCTTTGGCCTCGCCAGGAGCGGACACAGCTGGGAGAACATATCCGAGGACAGGGCCTGCAGCCAAGGCCAGCGACCGGACGTCTGCTTGCCATCTTTCCGTGGCTTGGCCTGCGGCAGAGAGGGCCCTAGCCAGGGTGAATGCCTGCCAGGTTCCGTTTCCTGAGGAAAAAGAGCTTCTCTGTGTCTGGGGTAGCACCTGGCCACTGACTGCTGTGTCTCAGCACTGGCCAGTGTAGATTTCTACGCATTTGTGGAGCCCTCTGGGGCACTGGGTATCACCCCAGGAGCAGGCCGTGCTTCTTATGGGGGGCTGTTTGGTCCTCAACTCATAATAAATGGGAGATGCGGGCCAGGCACTGAACAGGCATCTGGGGGAGAGGGGGACAACTTGTCATTTATCTCTGTGTCCCCAGCATGATCAACGCTTGGCACAGGTCACCATGTGAATGGCGGAAAACCCAGCCTAAGGAGCAAATCACCAATTACGAAACAATTTATATTAAGGAACTCTTGGAAGGGCAAGGCCCCTGTTGGTCTTGTTTGCTCCTGTGTTTGCAGTGCCCACACAGACCTCCTAGAGGAAGTGGCAAGTGAGCTGTCCAACAGCTAGTGGGGACACAGATCAGGTGTCCAGGTAGAGGGAAGAGTGGAAGCAAAGGCAGTGGGGAGGGTTCTCAAAGTCTGCGTGGGGCCTGGGGGAGGAGGGCGCAGAGGACACTATGGAAGGCTTGAATGCCTGGCTCCTTGGTGGCTCTGCCACCACAGTCCCCTTGGACCCCAGGGTGGCGGCAGGAAGAGCAGTGTGTCTGAACAAGGAGGGGGATGTGGCCCATCTGATCAGCATAGCTGGTTGATCTAACCAGGTCTGCTGTGACCTTGGCTGCATTAGGGCAAATGGACAGAAGATTCAAGATGGGCCAGCGCCTCTGTCCCTGGCTGGCTTGGAAGGAAGACAGGCCATGGCCCTTGGCAAATGACTAATGGGGGCTTGCCACACTGTGATGCTCTCAAGCCATCCCAGCTCCTGTCCCATGGGTGGGCCCCCTCAGCTTCCATCCCACCCCATTCTGTCCCATCCCACCTCATCTTCTGTCATGCTCCTAACACATGGCTCCAGCAAACCTGCCTTCTCCTTACGCATCAGTGATTTTTCTCTCTCTTTCAGACCTTTCTTATAGACACAAACTGTTTTAATTTATACCACTCTTAAAAAAAAAAAGTGTTGCTCCTACATACCCCATGAGGGGACCTTGCAGTCAAGGTCACCCGTGATCTACATGCTGCTAATCCCAGTGGTCCGTGGTCTCCACTTCCTTGATCTGTTAGCAGCAGGTGGGTCCCACCTCCTCCCTGAAACACTGTCTTCCTGACACCACCCCTCCCAGCTGTTCACACATCATTGGTCTTGGTCTCCTTGGCTGGTTCCTTCTTGCCTCCCCCATCTTTGAGTGGGGAGTGCTCCAGCTCCTCTTTCTATGTACATACACACTTGGCTACTCACTTGCCAACAACCCCAATTGTCTATTTCCAGCATGGAGCTCCTCCCTGAGATCAGCTCCGTGCATCCACTCACCTCCCCCCCTCTCCCCACCTGGATGCCAGTAGGCTTGTCCTCACCAAGATGTTCCAAACAAAACCTCTGAACACAGTGTAGTCAAACGAAGTTTTAAAAAAACAATATGAAAATCCCCACATGTTTGGAAATCAGGGTGTTTATACCTCTAGAGAACCCATGGATAAAATCAAATGGAAATTAGGAAATAGTTTGAACTGGATAATGACAAAAATTATTATGACAAAATGTATGGAAGGTAGCAAATGCATTGTTTAGAAAGAAAAGTAGACCTTAAAAAAAGAACCAAAAGCTAGTGGGAAATGATACAGTTCCTGTGGTAAACAGTGCGGGGGGGGGGGGGCTCCTCACATTAAACCAGGAGTTACTGGGGGACCCAGCAACCCCATTTCTGGGTGTATCCCCAAAAGGAGTGAAGGCGGGACTGGAAGGGAGATTTGCACATCAGCGATCCAGCAGCGTATTCACACAACCCAGCCATCTGTAAACAAGTGAGCGGAGACATACAACATGGTCCAGCCGCACAATGGAGCACAATCCAGGCTTGCAAAGGAAGGACACTGTGACCACGGCGAGCACATGGATTCCCCCCCGGGGGACACTGCATGGAGTGAAATGGATCAGGCACAGAAGGAGAGTTAGTGTCCGACCCCACCTCCGAGGTCCTGAGAGGAGCCAAATTCATGGAGGCAGGGAGCAGAAGGCGGGTGCCAGAGGCTGGGGTGGGGGTGGGGAGTCTGTGTTTCATGGGGACAGAGTTTCTGTTTAAGAAGGGGAGAAAGTTCTGGAGATGCTGGCGGTGATGGCTGCACATGTGTGAATGGGCTCAATGCCGCTGAACCGCACACTTAAAAAACGGTGAAAACGGTAAATTTTATGCCTAGATACATCTATATTTACCATAATTTTTTAAGAAGTTAAAAAAACCTTTTTTTAAGATTTTATTTATTTACCTGAGAGAGAGAGAAAGAGAGAGAGCATGTGCGAGCACGTGTGCGGAGGGAGAGATGGAGGGAGTGAGACTGGAAGAGGGAGAGAGATTCTTAAGCAGAGTCTACACTGAGCACAGAGCCCAATGCCAGCCCCGATCCCACGACTGCAGGATCATGACCCAAGCTGAAACCAACAGTCAGACATTTAACCGACTGAGCCACCCAGGTGCACCGGTAAACAAATCTTTTTTTTAAAAAGACACCTGCAAATTAATGAGATAAGCACGCATCTCAAAAAGTCAGATGAACAACAATCCCAAAGAACTGAAAAGCAAAGGATAATAAGTCTATACATTAATGGACGAGAAGGCAAAAATACTGGAAAGAGGATCAACCAATGACTGAAATCAGAAAAGGAAATGTGGTATCACTCAGGGTGACCAACCCCTCTTGGCCTGTCCCGGGTCCCCAGAATGTCACGCGGGAAGCCCCGGCTCTCCAGCCCCTCAGTTCCAGGGGCCGGTGGCCATCTGCTTCAGGTCCTCAGACATCAGAACAACAACAAGAACATACTGGAAATAACTTCTGTCAGTAAGTCTGGAAATTCAGATATTGTGGACAAATTCCCAGGAAATATCATTAATCAGAACCTATACCCAAAAGAAAGAGCATCTGTTTCGGTAGCTCTTAACCCAGAATCCAGGGCCCTCTGGTGTTGGCCCCCTGCCCGGGCTCTCCCGTCTCTCTGCTCTGGGCCCGGACACCCCGAGAACCCAGCTCTGAGGAGGAGGCGCGGGGCCAGGCGCTCTGGGGTGCCATGCCCAGGCTGCAATGGGCGCTTCTCTAGGCACCGGGGTACTTTCAGGCCCATTCCCCCGCGAGGCCCCCATCCACAAACCGCCCCTTCCCAGGCCCCGCAGTTTCCCCACTTGCAGCTGGCGGGGCTGGGGGAGCCCTGTGGGCCCGCCTCCCCGTCTGGACAGGCCTATCTGAGCATCTCTTGGCGCCAGCCTGCCTGCTCACCCCCGGGTGCCGGCACCCGGATCTCCATCACCACGATGCAAATAACAGGTTTGGCTGGGTGGGCGGCGCGGACCTCGGGTGCGACTCCTTGTGACTTCCAGGTGACAGTTTCCCACAGGTAGTGGGGACTTGCGGGACAGTCTTGTCCGCCAGGCACCTGCGCGCACTGCCAGACAATGGCTCCAGCCCGAGTTTCTCCCTCAGACGCCGGTAACCATAGCAACGTGCTTCAACCCTCAAGCCTACGTTTTCCTGGAATCCAGAGGGGATGAGAGATTCCTCCCCAGCTGACGGCTGATGGGAGGGTGCGATGCCTGGCTGAAAGAGTCTGGAAACTGTGATGTGCAAGCCTGACCTCCCTCTGCCTGTCCTTCTCTCCGGCCAGAGAGCTGAGACTCTTGGGAGCCGGACAAGGTCACCAGGCCCGGCCCTTGTTTTGTGTTGCTGCGTCGCCCAACTCAAGGATCCTATCCCATCACGTCGTACCCTATGTGGGCACCATGTGTGTGTGCACGGGGGTGCGCATGTGCGTGTGCATGTGGAGGGTGGTTCCACCATGTTATGTAATCACTTGGCACCAACCATGGGCTATCACTCTTCTCTGACCACGTCAACCCCATGTCAACCCCCTACAGCACACGCTGAGATTCTAAGAACCGGGTTAATTAACAACTGAGTCAGCCAGGGCACCGAGGGTTCACCGGCATCCCCAAGGGGTCAGTCAGGGTGGGGACGGCCTGGTCCAGGTGGCCAGAGCCAGGTGATGGCAGTGGGGGGCAGCTGAGGAGTGGGGATGGCGGTTCTGGGCACGGGATTGACTCTGGGAAGTAGGGGAACAAAGGAGAAAGGGGCAGGGGGAGAGTTCGCGGTCCCCACTGTTGTTGCTGTTATTTACACGGGAAAGTTCTGGAAGTCACAGAATAGATCCTGGGATGAACCCTATCTGCCCAGCAATGGCGGCTCCCACACTCTGCCAGGAAGAAAGCAGGGAATGAGATTCCAGCATATGGGACCCCGGTGTGGAAGGGTAGTCCATCACTCCCTACCCACAGTGCGCAGGCTGTGACCCTGAGGCTCGAGAAGGGGGCTGGTGGCCTGAGCTCACCCAGGCATGAACAGGGAGGCCGGGTACTCGGCTCAGGTCTCCCCACGCCCAGGCCACTCTCTCCCCAGGCCCCTCTCCTGAGCTGAGGCTGCCCCGGTGTATGTGTGCGTGCACACGCGCGTGTGCGTGCTCGTGCTGACCACGCGAGTGCTCGAGGGCCCCTTGGAGCTGGGGAGGTGTGGCTTCTCTGTGCACCCTCCCAAGGTGCCCTCGGAGCCTACTCCCAGGAGGGTGCTAGAGGGCGGGCACCCCACTGACCTGGATCACGGTGTCCAGTCCCAGTGGAGACCGCTCTGCAGTGGCATCCCCGTGGCCAGGCTCGCTGGAGGCAGAGCTCATCTCCGATGGGAGCACAGGACTCGGGAGAGAGCCAGGGCTTGGCTGCCCGGTGAGTGTCCTCCTGGTGCCCTGGCCGGGCTGGGACCTGCCCCAGTGCACCCAGCCCCACACCTGTGTAGCACCTGGCTCCTCCGGTTGGTCGGTCGGTTGGGGCGTCCAGCTGCCCCCTCTAGGCTGGCGACCAAGCAGCCAACTAAGCCAGAGGCGTTGCTGGGGCAACCGCAACGCTGAGGATTGAGTTTCCCTGGAAACAGGAGTGCAGGCCCTGTTGCCATGGGGACTAAGGAACGCTGTTGTCTGCAAGCGGTCTCCTGGACACTGGAGACGCCCTGGGTGAAGTTGTTCACCTGAAAGACCATAGCCAGAAGGGGCTGGCTCTTCCCCAGGCCTCCCCCTCCCCTGCCCTTGTGGGGAAGGGCTCCCGGTCTTCCAGGGGCATTCTTCCTGGGAGAAATTGTGTGCTTGGGGCCACGCATCAGCTTCCTCCTAAGGGAAAATCAGAAGCTATGTCTTCCTTCTCTCTTTCTTTTCTCTTCTTTCTTTCTTTCTTTCTCCCTTCCTCCCTTCCTTTCTTTCTAAGATTTTATTTATTTATTTATTTGACACACATACAGAGAGAGAGAGTGAACATAAACAGGGGGAGCCAGAGAGGGAGAAGCAGCTTCCCACTAGGCAGGGAGCCCAATGTGGGGCTTGATCCCAGGACCCTCAGATCATGACCTGAGCCAAAGGCAAACGCTTAATGACTGAGCCACCCAGGAGCCCCTATGGCTTTCTTTTCTAACATCTAGAAAAGAACTTTCAGGTCAGTAGTGGGAATGTGTCCAGCAGATGGGTAGACTGAGGCCTGGAGAGGAGAAACCACCTGCCCGAGGACCAAAGGAGACCCCCATCATCCTAACCTTGCACTTGGACGCTTCCCTCTGGAGCTCAGTCTCAGGGTAATCTACTCCACGGGTGATTTGTGCCACACTCGTTGTACCCCTGTCACTGAAAAATTTTCCAGAGCCACATAAAGGACCAGCAGGGACACCCAGAGCTCACCCACTGGGGTGATGGGACCCAGGCCCAGGAGCAAGTGAGGGACAGGCACAGACCTGTATCCCTCCCAGCCTGGGCCTCCTGGGGCCTCTGGACTGAGTCTGGCACTGGGCATCGAGGCAGACCACTGTCCCCTCCCCACGCCTCATTCCACGCTGGGTCTCTCCCAGCAGAGTCCTTCTTGAATAGGGACAGCAGCTGGAGATGGGCCCAGCAGCCGGGAATGACTGCCCCTCGAATGAGAGGAGACCTATGTGGGACTCTGGGGATGTGCCGGGGACCCCCAGAGCCTGGGCTCCTCTGAGGCCACTCGAGAAGATAGGAGTCAGCCTGCCTGGGCAAGGCCAGAAGGGACCTGGTGGTGAGGGGGGGTGCTCGGTGGGAGGGCTGCTGAGGGACTGCGAGGGACCAGGCTGTCTCCTCAAGATGGAAATTCAAGACCAGGTCACCTGTGCTTAAAGGAAGCTGTCTTTGAGAAGCACGGGATCTTTGTTCCGGAATCCTCAGGGCCTCTGCTGGCCGCCCCCCGGGAGGACAGCCACCGGAGTGCCTCACGCAGGCACAGGCCAGGCTCCCCGGCTGGACGTAGTCCCACTGGGCCTGCAGGGCTGGCATGGGGCTCATTGGACAGGCAAGTGGACGGGCCCTAGCCAGTCCTTTCACCCCAGGCCCCTCTGGACAAGCATAACTTCCAGCTTCTGAAGGTAAAAACTGAGATCCAGATTCAGAGCCCAGGGGACCCATGCTGTAGCTTGGGTACCTTCCAGCACCCTAGGCTGCCTATAGCACCCTCCCCCCAGAATCTGAGCCCAGGGGGTTTGGAGAGGTGTGAGGCAGGTGTCCTCAGGGAGGCAAAGGGAGTGGCAACATTGCTCAGGGGCTGGGCCTCCTCTGACCCCGACGAGGTGGGCTCTGGGGGCATAGAGGGTAAGGCCTGCCTCCAGTAAGTCTTCCCACCCGGGGAGCTCAGTGTGGGACATCTGTGTGGTGGTGGCACGAGGGGGCTGTGGAGGCCAGCGTGATTATCCGCCATCTCTCTCAGGAAACCAGGAGAGTCATGGCTCCGTGGTGGGAGGGACAGCCTGTTGTGCCTTTTGCCCCTACTCCCCAACCCAGCATTCACCTTGGCTTATTCTCCCCCTTAAGCCCTCGGGCCACACAGAGAAGCCCGGCACAGGTCCGCCTTCGCCCACACCCCTGTACCCTTTTCTCTAGGGAGATGCCCAGCCCCTCGGGGCTTCCACAGGCCCCATGGCCTGACTGCTTGGTGTCCATGCTTGTGGCTCCTGGTCCTGGGCTGTCAATGGATGAGAAGGAGAACCTTCAGGACCAGGCAGCCCTGGGCCCGGGCATGGCTCCTGGGGAATGTTCTGGAGTGGATGGAGGGTGTGATAGAGGTCCTTAGCATGCAGGTAGCACCTCTGTGGGATGGGCAGGGGCAGGGCTCAGGAAAGACCACAGCTGGTCCTGACCCAGAGCAAGAGAATGGCCTCAAGTTTTTCTGTCTGCTGCCGGCCCTGGGGGCACCAGAATTTGCCACATCTGATTCAGACCCTCCCTGAGAGGGGAAGGGACCTCAAAACTCGCACCAAAGTGCTGGCCTCCTGGTGTGAAGGCCAACCCTTGGTCACATCTCTTATATTCGCTCTGACAGGCGTGACAGGGATGGGTGTGGCCGGGCCTGCCGTGGATGGGACACGTTGCCCTGATGTGTCCTCTGAAGATGGGTCACACGCAGGGCAACCCCGGAAGAGAGGAATGGCCTGCCTCTGTCCTAGCCCCGCAGGGCCTCCTAGCAGCCAGGCCACCCTAACTGGCTCTAGGATCTGTCCAGGTGTTAGTCTGCTCTCCAGTGACTCTGTCCCCTGAGGACCTGCCCGCCCCCACCCCCGGGGGCAGCTGTCCTCGGTGACAGTCCATCGGGAGGGTGGGTGATCACTCAGGAGAGGAATGGCTCCTGCCAGCAGCTGTGGTTCAACTGACCCAGGGTCACGGCCTCCATCAGGTGTGTCCCTTGCAGGTGCTGGACAGGAAGCAGGCTGCACACTCTGCACTTACATTAAATATAGCCTCCCTCTGGACACTCGGGCTCGGGCACCGCCCAGAGCTGCGGACTTCTGCCCGTGGGGGGAGCACCCCAGGCTACTGGTCACTGTCAGTGTGTCTGTACCCCTGAACTAGGGGACAGAGGTAGCGGCTATGTAACTGAGTGGCTGGATCTGAGACCCTTGGAACCCCTCTCCCCACGGCCTCTGCCAGCCCCCTTCTTGGGCTGTGGCCGCCCCAGCCTCCTTCCTGCCTTGCAAAGCTTCATGGCTTAGCTGTCTGCTCACTGTTGCCTCAACTGGCTGAGGATGGCCACCTCCTGGGTGACAGTGCTGGCCCACACCTGCTTCTCCTTGGGGGACCCCGAGGGTCCACAAAGAGCCGGACAGCAGCCTACAGCAGACAGATGAACCCTCACACCCCAGCCACCAGCACACATGCACCTTCCACAGGAAGGTCTGCCTACTTTCTCCCCAGTGCCTCTTCAGTGCCCTCTGTCCCCCCAGGCCAGCACCCCTGTCAGCTGCCCTGTGGACTGTCACCTCCTGTGTGCAGTCCCACGTGTCCCTTGCTTGATGGTGTGGTGCAGGTAGAAGGGTGTGATGGGCTTTATGCCAGAGCTGGGCACCCCTGTGCTGGTCTCTGCGAGAGGAGGCAGTTGGCCGGGTAGCCAGCCCCCGGCCCCAGGCTCTGGGGCAGGTGGTACAGCCCCCGTGTCCTCCCCAGACTAGGGGAGGGAAGGCCGCTCTGGGGCTGCCGGGAGAGGCCACCTGCGAAGAAGCAGACCCGCAGGGCTCCTGGGAAGTGATGGGCGGGGGGTCAGGAGGGATGATGGCCCATGGGACCTAGGGGACGAGGGGAGGTGATGGGCAGTGATGGGCAGGGGGTCAGAGGACGGCCCCTGGGACCGGGGGGATGAGGAGCGCTGATTTAAGTCCTGTGCTCTGTGCCTTCCATGTCTGGTGACTCTGCAGAAGATCCCTTCAAGAAATCACCAGAAACTGAAGGTCAGCATAAGCCCACAGGCTGTTGGTGCTCAGACGGCTGAGCTGTGGCACCCAGTGACAGGGATGTAGCCACGTGGGAGCCCTGCGGAAGCCAAGGGCCAGAGCCGTCTCCTTGCTCTGACCCCACCACGTGAGAAATCTCTGAAGGAAGCCCGGGCGGGGGTGCGGGCTGTGATCCAATTGGGGGCTGGGGACCCCTTCTCCTAGGGCCTGGCTCCCTTCCCAGCAAGCCCCCCCACCACTTTGGGATCGTCCCTCCTGCCTGGACTGTTCCCCTGCCAAGTGAGGGTCCCGTGCGGAAGCGTGGGGCCCGGCCTTTTCTGAGCCCTCCTTCCTACTCTGTGGGTTTGCTCCTTGCCCCTCAGGCCAGACACTCCAGCACACAAAAGCTCCAGCAGCTCGGGCTGGCCGGCTGGCCGGTTGGTCAGACCGTGGCCCGGGGATGGCTGTGAGGAGCTTGTTTCTCTCTCCTGCTGTGGTTTCTAGTTTGCCGGCTCCTGCCTTGTCTCCCTGGGCCCAGCTTCCTGAGTGACCGTGGACCCTGGTGCCCGACGGCTCTGGGGTCCGTGCCCTGAGGCCCCTTCACCGCAGCCCCGCCCCGGGAGTGCAGGCCCCCCTCCTGGGGCCAGGCCTTGACCCCGTTGGCGCTATGGCTCTTCCCATCCCTAGCCACTGGGGTCCACACGGGCTACACCCTGTCCCTCTAACCCACCCCAGCTGCTTCCGGGTCTCTGTGCTTCCCATAGGGCTTTGTCCTCAACCCCCAGCCCGTGCCACAAGCCCGCAGCCTGGACTGGAGGCTGGAGGCAGCTGGGAAAGGAAGCAGGGCCTTCTCAGCAGAGCTCCAGGGAAAACTGGGGGGTTGGGGCCGTGGGTGACACGGCCTCACTCTCCCTGAGGAGGGGGGTCCTGGGACCGGGGGTGGGGTACACAACATTGGGGCCGCCCCTGAGCCGGGGAGGTCCCTGCAGCGCCGTGCCGAGGGGGGCCACCTGCTCTCCTGGGGGAATTCAGGATTGCCCTGAGGTCCAAGGAAGCTGGAGAAACGTGATATCACGGGTTGCAGATGGTGGAGCCAAGGCACAGGCAGGGCCAGAGTCAGGAGCGCGGGACCCAGGTCCTCCACAGCAATGCCCCTCCCTATAGATCAGAGTCCCGTGAAAATGGAAGGGCCATGCAGAGTGTGTGGTGGGGAGCAGAATATGGTATGGATGGGGTAGGAGGCTGGCCAAGGGCATCAGCATCCTTGACACTGAGCGGCTGCCCTGGGAGAGGGACTGACGTGCTCTGGACAACCCCAGAGGACAGGACCAGGTCAGGTCTGAGGAAGGAAACTCATCTTTTGTTTGATGGTACTATGGGCTGCACTGTGAGGTGGTGAGATCTTTGTCCTGGGAGGTATGAAAGAGAGAGCCAGGCCCTGGGGGTTCCAAGGACCAGGAAGTGAGCACCTTGGATCTGGGTTCTTTTTTTTCTTTTTTAAATATTTTATTTATTTATTTGACAGAGATCACAAGTAGGCAGAGAGGCAGGCAGAGAGAGAGGAGGAAGCAGGCTCCCTGCGGAGCAGAGACCCTGATGTGGGGCTTGATCCCAGGACCCTGGGATCATGACCTGAGCCGAAGGCAGAGGCTTTAACCCACTGAGCCACCCAGGTGCCCCTTGGATCTGGGTTCTGCTTGCAGCTCTGGGTATCTGAGGCCCAAGTGTGGGTGGAGGAGAGGGCTCACCCTGAGGGCTGCAGGGCTGCGGTCTCCGGGAAACCTCATTAGGGGCTATCTCCAAGTTTACTGTTTGCAGACACTGGGCGTGGGGGGTGGGGGTGGGGTGGGGTGTGTGTGCATATAGGGCTGGCCCAGCAGGGCCAAGGGTCAGTGGGGGTGGCTCCCTGGTGACTGGTTGGGACTTGCCCACCTGAGCAGGGAGACAGGCTGGGCCAGGCAGGGCTCCCAGTGCTGTGCTGAAGCGGCCCGCAGGGCGAGACTTTCCACCCGGTAAGGAGCCCAGGAGATGTCCCCTAGAGCTGCAGACCCAGGTGGGTACAGGCTCTCTTAAGTTTGAGCTAGGGCCCGGGTTGGGGTTTGGAAGTGTGGCGCTGCAGGGAGAGGAGGCAGGATTCTCACCCGGGTGGTGGGTGGGCAGGTGACCCCCCCATTAGAGGCTCCCCACTTCTGGCCGGGCTTAGGTGCCTCAGTGGAATGTGGAGGTTGTTGAGGGGGTGCAGACCCCCTAGCCTGCCATCCAGGCTCCTCAGAGGCAGCTGCAGCGGGCTCTTCCTCCGGGGGCCTGGGGAGGCTACCTCCCACTCTCACCTTTGTCATCTGAGCAAGGAGGCTGCCCTGTGTCCCTCCCCCAGGCTGGTGGGAGACCTGCGTGTCACAGAGTTTCTGTGGCCGCTGCACAGGGATGGGGGGCACCAGGAATGGCCTGCAGGAGGTGGCCAGGCCCTGGAAGGGGCACGGCCTGACTGTGGTATTTCTCTAGGGCTCTCTGGAACAGCTAAGAGGCAGTCAGTGTGACAGGAGGGAGGAGCCAGAGCTGAGTTGTGACCCAGCCCCTCCCCCTGCCCTAGGCTCCCAGTGACATTCCTAATGGTTGGGGACTGACTCACCCCCTCTTCAAAGGCCCGGCCTGGCTCAGCTATTTAACCCGGTGGCAGCTCCAGAATTCTGCTCTGCGGGGAGCTGGGGCCCCGCCCGCAGACCTGCTCCTCTCCGGGGCCTGCGCACGTCCTTGGGTCCTCAGTCCCTGGCTGCCCCTGTGCCCTGGCCCCAGCCATGGCCGTGCAGGTGTCCCTGTGGCATCACTACCTGCAGGCCATCCGCTCGAGGGGGGCGCCCCGGGCACAGGACTACCAGCGAGCGGAGAACGTGCTGCTAGTGGTGATGGAGCGGGTGCACGAGCTGGACCCCCGCTTCCTCGTGGACTACTCCCGGGACCTGGAGGCCTTCCAGTTTGCCCTGCGCTCCTCCGAGGACCCAGTGCGCATGGAGGTGCCCCTGTGGGTGGACGCCGAGGTCCTCCTGGTTGAAGAGGCGGGGGCCGCCGAGGAAGGGGATGGACCCACGTCCTGCCGCCTGGGTATCCCCAGGGAAGGGGCCAACCTGGAGCGGTGGACAGCCGAAGACGTCTCCAGCATCTCCTCGGAGGGGAGTGGCACCTGCTGCAGCCACATTGTGCCCAGCAAGGTCCTGCGTGTCCTCAAGGACCTTCTGGTGGCGGCCATCGTGCACTGCAAACACCAGAGCCTCATCGCACCAGGTAGCCACCAAGCGACTGTGGGAACACGCATGATGGCAGTGTGTGTGTGTGTGTGTGTGTGTGTGTGTGTACATGCGTGTGTGCCCGTGCATGCACAGATGGGGTCTCTCAGCGTGTGTGTTGGGGCACATGTGTGATGACAGTGTGTGCATGCATGCGTGTGCGTGCACAGACGGGGTCTCTTGGTGTGTGTCGGGGCACACGTGTGATGGCAGTGTGTATGTGTGCACGTGTGCGCATGCGTGCACAGACAGGGTCTCTCAGTGTGTGTGTCAGGGCACACGAGTCGGGGGACATTGCTCTGAGGTCCTTTCTAGCTCCAGACACGTCTGAGAAGACAGATCATGTTGTTTCCATGTCACCTGATGACTTTGGTGGCCACAGGGGACAGGTTGTTACTAGTGAAACAGCTGGAAACGACGCCTGCCAGGGCACCATCTTCCCACCGACCTGCTAGATGAGGGTCTAGCCACAGGTCTGGGCAAGTGGTCCTGTTACCAGCTCTGGTTCAGCCTGCTGTCCTTACAGATGTCCCTGAGTGCAGTCCCTGGTCACATTGCACTGGGAAGACTATGTGTGTGCATGTGTGTGTGTCTGGGTTATGGATGCATGTCTGAGTGTGTGCACATGTGTAGGTGGAAGTGTGTGCACATGAGTGAGTGAGTGTGTGTGCAGGATTGTGGACACATGTGTGAGTGTGTGCACATGTGCATGCAGAAGTGGGCGCACATGAGAGAGTGTGTGGACGTGTGTGTATACCTGCACAGTTTTGTTTCAGTGCATGGTCCTGTTGCTACTTGGTGTCCTGGGCCCTGAGCAGGCTCCGTGCTGGAGTCTGGCCTTAGTGTCTTGTCTGGGTGCCCACATGGTGTGACTCGGGGTGGGGAGCCCCCGGGGGGTGCAGGGCTCCTGGCTGGACCACAAATGGCAGGCTTCCCTCCAGCGGGGGCCGCCTGGACTGTGAGAGTCCCGGGAAGAGGCAGGTGCAGAGATCCGGACAGCAGGGCCTCCTCCTGGGGACCAGAGCAAATATACTGGGTTGTCCTGGCAGGGACTGGGGACCAAAACAGAATGTCCAGCCTCCCTTGGGAAGGACAGGCCACGGTGGCGGCTGGTCCTCATGTCTGCCGTGATGGCAGAGTGAGATGGTCAGCCCATCTTGGGGAGAGTGACCCGCCCTGGGCTGCTCAGAGTGGCTCCTGGATGGACTTCCAGCCCCAAGAGGGGACAACTTCCAGATCTGGCCCCTCCCAGGCCTGCCTGGTGACCTGGGGCCGGTGGCCACCTTCTTGGGGCAGCCGGAGCCTGTCATTAGGTGTGGCCAGCTTCCAGCCCCTTCCACATCTTCTCTGCTCATCTTCTGAACCTCTCAATTACCTCAAGGCCTTGTCTGTCTGCCTCTGTGACCTAACATAGCCACTCCCACCTGGCCTTAGCCCCTGCCAGCCCTGTGCCCGTCTGGGAGCAGACCCACCTGCTGGGGTGTGCCCAGTCTGGGCCATTTGGGCGCACTCTGAGCTGCCTCTCTTCACTATCCCTGGGTCTCCACCATCCTCAGTTCCTGGCTGAGAGAGCAGAGGAGCCTGGGACCACACCCACCTGAGTTGAGCACACAGGGAAATTCCAGGCATTGCTTCCTGACACTTACCTTAAAAGGGAAACACAGCAGCTCCCTCTAGGTGACAAGGTCCAGGATGCTCCCACCCAGGGCAGAAACCGGTGAGACCAGCCTAGGGGCTAAGGCAGGGTGTGGCGTGACCGGGCTGGGGCTGCAGGTGTGGCTGCCTTCCAAGCCGCCTGCCTCCACCGCCAGAAGGTGTGACCAGCAGTAGATAAGGAAATAAAGCCACCACCCGCAGCTCAAACCCTGAATTGGGAGGGGCCAGGGATCACCTAACTCCTTCTTCCTTTAACTGACAGGGAAACTGAGGCTCATGGGGGGGATAGAGTGGCCCAGGTGGCAGGACCAGGACCTGCTCTGGGCTAGGTCCCCAGAAGTGGCCCAAGAACTACTGTATAGGAGACTTGGGGGAAGGGTCTGCCTAATGGGGGACCAGGCTCCTTCATACAGGACCCCCAGTGCTGCGAAGGGCTGTGGTGGGCTGTGTGCGGTGGGACAGTGTGGGAATGCAGCTCCCACGCTCAGTCCCATAGAGACCTTTCTCCTAGGCACATACTGGGGACTTCCTTTGGCACATGTCTCCCAGAAGGTTGGTCCCTGACCTCTAACCAGCGCCCTCGCTGGGCAGCGCCAGGGGAGGGAAGGGGTGACCGCTCTGAATCCAGTGTTGGCTGGTGTTGGTCAGGGCTGGTGATGCGAGGGTTCCCCACACTGTTCAGATCCCCTTTCCTTCTCTGTGGTATCAGTATGTTTCGGCGGGGTGGGGGGAGGGACAACTGACATGGAAGTCCAGAGGGCCCTGGGTTACACCAGAGTGCCCCCACTGTCCTTGGAATGTCCCCTCCTGGCTGGTCTGGGGGATTTGGGTCAGGGGAGTGGGCGCTGGGCTGCGTCAGCCATGAGGGATGTGGGAGCATCTTTACTCCGATGTGCTGTCTGGGATGCTGTTCTGGGGACCCAGGGTGTGGAGTAGAACGAGGGAGGGCAGGCTCATTCATTGTCAGCCCTCGGATCCAGACCCTCCTGGGAGCTGGGCACCAAGCATGTCCTACATCAGGCCTTCGGGGACACGTGTGCTACTCCTGGGCCATCCCAGGCCATCCTGCACCTCTTCAGCCCCTTCCAAGAGGTGTGAGGGGCAGCCTGAGATGGGGACTCCGGGGCATGGGGGTTGTTGCAGGGTCTCTGAACGCAGACAGCCTGAGGGAGGAGGAGCTCCATCTGTCCCTGCTGGTGTCCAGTGGCTGGAGAACAGTGTGCTTCCACGTCGTGCCTGTGGTACGAAGAAGGCAGAGGGTGCCCTCCCTGGAGGGGGCCCAGCTGACGCATGGGTTCCCTGAAGGCAGCTTGAAGAGGATCGTCAGCCAAGAGGTGGCGCTGGTACCAGCTGGTGCCCAACACTGGAGGTAGGACACGCCTCCTGGGGTCTGGGGGTCCTGGGGAGCTGGCAGGAAGGGGGCTGCCCCACCACTGTTCCCCTCACTCTGAGCTGGAAGGTCTGCGGTGATGTCCTCCCTGCCCTAGTCATCCATACCAATGTCACTGGGATCTCTGAGGGGTGGGGGATGTGGGATCTGGCCGGGATGCTCACTCCTTACTGCCAGCTTCAGCTCCTTACAGCTGCAGGGAGTGGTGAGGGGGGAGCTGTGCCCCCACCCCACATGAGGAGTGGGCAGGGCAGGCTGTGAGGAGAGGCAGGGAGAAACTGGGAAACACAGGAGGCCGCCTGGAAGGGGACCCTCATGACCAAGACTGACACCTTTGTTTCAGGTGGGAAAGTGGGAAAGAGGACAGAGACTTATCTGGGTCACACAGGGTCCTGGGGTGGCCGGGAGGGGTCCCCGCACAGTGAGGGTGACCAGAGGAATTTGCTAGCATCCTCCCAGATGGGATATGGTATGTCCCCCACCCGTGGGGCTAGCTGCTTGTCCCCTCCCCCACCAGCCTCCTGTGGACCTCCAGTCTCCATCCCTCGGTGAGGTGCTTAGGGCCATTCCTCAGATGCACCTGAAGGAAAGAGAGGCCCTGAGTTGGTGTCTGTGAGATGGAAAGAGAGAGTCGGGGGTGGGGGGCACGTGGCAGAGGCTGAGCTGCCCTTGAGACCCCCAAGCCAAGGGCAGGGACTGAGCCCCCTCCAGCTCCAAAATGGCTTCCACAGCACCTTGCAGGCAGGGGTGCTGTGATTTGAGGGGGGTGACCCACCCACCAGCTCCTACGGCAGGTGCTGCTTCTGGGAACCGGGCACCGGGTTGAAGTAAGGCGGGGGGGTGGGTGTTGCTCTTACAGGTAATTCTTGGAAGTCGATGATGTTCATGGCACTGGCTATGCCCTCCTGTGGCCTTCTGCCCCCAAAGAAAGGCTCCTCTGAGCGCCTCTGAGCCCCTCACCCTGAGCAGGGCTTTGTCCGGGCTTGCGGGAAGGAAGGGAGGGTGGGCTGGGCAGTCATGTGTGCAGGCCAGCAGGGAACGGTCCTTCCCCTGTCCCTCCATCCAGACTCTGGGTGTGCAGGCAGTCGGCCGTCCAGTACTGAGACTCCACAGAAGGGGGCCCTTGGGGGGACCTCAGATTCCACCCCTTTGGCGGCTCAGCAAGTCCACAGTGAGTGCCACGGGGGTGCAGTGCCCCAAGCTCTTGCGTGGCCGCCCGGGGAAGGCTGGACTTCCCAATGGGGCATGGAGTGGACGTGCGAGCCCAAGGACCAGAACTGCCCATCCACCCTGGGCAGGTCAGAGTGGCACCTTCCTGTCCACACAAAACGGCCAAGATGGCCTGGAGGCTCCCTCCACCTCTCCATGTTGTGGGGCCTACACGTCTCTCCAAGAACACTGGCCTTTCCCATTTGACTGCCCAACACGTGCAGGCCTGGGAACCATGGGGAGGGTGTGCTAGGTGCAGCCACTGGCCTTGTCGTGGCCTGGACTGTGCGCGGGTCCTCTCTCGGGGAGGCCACAGAAGCTGGGGGCTTTTCTTCCTGGGGTGAAGTGGTGGAGGCAGGCTGCCCCAGATTCCTGGCTGGGGCCACAATGCTAACCGTCTGTGGTGTGCCTGTCCCGGCTCCCAGGGTCTCCACTGACTACTTGCTCACCAGACTGCTGGGTGCACTGGGCTCCTTCCCGGGCCACCGCCTGGACAGCCTCTCCATCCTGGACCGGGTCAACCACGAGAGCTGGCGTGATGGTGGCCAGAGCCCTGGCCTGACCTTCGGCCATCTGAAGGTGCATGGGCCAGGGGTGGGGGGCTCTCGGCCACAAGGGCCCCTGGCGGCTGTGAAGGTCACCGGCCGGGTATTCCCCCTCTGAGAGGAAGCAGCCCTGTTTGCAGCTCTCGGCTGCTCACTGGGCTGTTGGGACTTGGCTGGAGCCATGTCCTCCTTGGCCTGTGTGGGGTCTGCCCATAGTGAGCTGTGTTGGGGTTGGGGGGGTGGTGTAAGGCTGGTCTTCAGAGGGGCTGGGAGTGTGGGCTGGCCTGTCAGGGAGCTCCCTCTGACCCATTCTCCATCCCTTGAAGGCCTCCATCCCACCTCTGAGGGGTTGCCATCTTCTGGGGGGGGGGGGCTTGGGGTCTGGGACACAGTGGCTCCTGAGCCCCACAGTGAGCGAAGGATGATGGGGGTTGGTGGGAGGAGGGGTAGTGAGGGCACAGAGAGGTAGCTGCAGTGGTGTGGCAGGGGAGGGGCCTCTGGCTGAGGGCCTCAGGGAGAGGGAGAGTAGAGGGTGCCTGGTGCAGTCAGGAAGCTCCATTCTTAGGGCTTTTTCACACACACACACACACACACACACACGCACACATACACACACACACGCACACACACACACACGCGCGCGCACGCAAAGACAATGCCCAAGGGTAGGGTTCTTCCGCTCAGGCTGCCTTGCACAGTAGGAGGTCATGATCATCCAAGGGGAGTGGGGCAGGAGCAAAGGGCCAGAGGAGCTGAGGGGTCCTGGGATGGGAGCTGGGTGGGGGCGGGGTATCTCGCCCTCGGGGAGTTGGGGAGGGGCCAGAATGGAGACTGTAGGTGGGAAGGAGCTGAGCCCACCCTGGGACCTCCAGGGGAGGCAGGGAGTGTGGGGGAGAGGTGCTGGTGGGACAGAGGGCTGCAGAGGCATGGAGTGTGGGGGAGGGGTGCTGATGGGACAGGGGGCTGCTGGGGGGGGTAGGCTTAGACGAGGGGGGTGGGTTGCAGGGGCCAGGTGTGAGGCTGGTGGGGAAGCCGGGAGGGGTGGGCTGCCCTGGGCTGGAGCAGGCCACATGCTCTGGTGGGCTCTGACCCCCAGTCCTGCCTCAGATTGTGTTGCTGTGGGCCGCAGTGCTCTTCCCGGAGCCGGAAGACTGGGCGGAGCTGCAGGGCGCCGTGTACCGGCTGCTGGTGGTGCTGCTCTGCTGTCTGGCCACCAGGAACCTGCCGGACTTCCTCCACCCCGAGCGGAACCTGCTTGCGGATGCCGGGCTGGACCTCAACGCCCTGTACCAACGCGTGGAGCACTTCGCCAGCCAGCCAGAGCCGTCCCTGCGCATCCACGTGACCCACCTGGGCCGCAGCCCCCCGCCGCGCCTCGGCAGTGGGGTCAAGGCGCTCCTGCAGCTGCCTGCCAGCAACCCGGCCTACTGGGCCACCGCCTACTTTGACGTCCTGCTGGACAAGGTGGGCGTGGCGTGCTGAGGGGGTCTCGGGCAGGCCCAGGGGGACATGCAGGTGGGCACAGAGCTGGAAGGCAGGGCAGGTCGGTCCTCTGGACAGCAAGAGTGGGACATCTGAAGGCCAGACAGGCCATGAGGGCCCCTGCCCACTAGTGCCCCTGGAGGCCAGGTCTGAGCCAGCCTCCGTTACCCACCAGAACTGCCCCTAAAGCCACACATGGCAAGAGCTCGAGCCCCACCTGCCTACCCTGGGACTCTGTTCCTCGTGAATGGGAATGGCTGTCCCTAGGCCTCACAGGGACAGTTTCCTGCTGCCTCCCTGCACTCAGGAGTCCCACGCTGTGTCCCTAGGAGTTTACCCCCTATGGCCTGTTCAGGGCTTACTTGGCCGCTCTCCCAGCCACCCCCCAAGGTGCCGTCAGCTCTGCTAAGCCCTCCCTTCCCCTGCTCCCACCGAGCTCATTCCTGTTCCTTTCCCCCAGGGCCGACCCCCACCCTCACCTAAAGAGCCAACACAATCTCCTTCCAGGACCCATGGGGGCTGGAGGGATGAAAGCAAGAGGGGAGTTGCCTCCTCGGCCCTCAACCAAGCACCTGGTGGGGCCTCCACCAGGTATCCTCCCCAGGTGTCAGGCCCACCTGGGGAGGATACCTGTGTGTGAAGAAGGGCACCTGGAGGAGAGGGCCCTGGGTGGGGGAGGACCGTGCAGGTTGGGGAGGACCATACAGGTAGAGACCCAGAGGCAGGAAGTGCTGGTGGTCAAGGAGCATGTGTTGTCCCACACTTTGTCCAGGCCCCTGTGATGGGGCCCCCAGACAGCTCCATGACCCCACTATGCCCCGTCCCATCTGCAGTTCCAGGTCTTCAATATACAGGATAAGGACCGGATCTTGGCCATGCAGAGCATCTTCTGGAAGACCAGGACTCTGGACAACGAGGAGTGCTGAGCAATCCCCTGATCGGTCTTTACTGCCCACGGCCTGGCCCCACGGCCCCACGGAGGATCCCAGGCCATTTGCAGAGGAGAATGGGCTTCACCTGGAGGCAGGTGGTGGGTAATAGAGATGTCCATAGGGACCACCTGTCCAGGGATGGCCTGGAAGGAGTCTGAGCATGCTGGGCAGCAGGCCCCCGGGAGCAGCAGCCTGACCCCCCAGAGCCCAGGATGAAGGTGCCTTGTGCTTCACCAGATGGATATTGATCCATTCTGTGTGATGTTATTAGACTCTCAGAACCTGGCGTCTGCATGAGACCTGGAGCTCAATGGCTTGTGCCCACCTATGTTGCATGCTGCTTTGTGGCTACAAAATACTATATATCTGACCTTGAATAAAGGAACGCACTGGATACAGTGGGGATGGCACCTACCACTTTCTGTACATCTGCATGGAGAATATTTCCCCGGGAGACATAGAAGTAAAAGAAGCTAGTGGGTAGACAGTTTCCAACTTTGTCCATTTCCTATAAATGATCACCCTCTTCCCCAAATGTCCCCACCTTCTAATTCATCGAGGGAACTGAAGCCGACAGGGGATACCTGCAGGTCCCGCTGCCCACCTGTGCTAGTCCCATCATGGGGGTGGTCCCCCTCTCCTGTGTAAGGTGGCATCTCCGGGCATCTGACACCACCCCCTCCATCTGTCCTCAGTGCTCCATTTCCCCATGCCACATTCTCTCATCAGCCCATAACAGCCAGGCTGCAGCTCCTTCCCCACTGAGCTCTCACGTGAGAGCCTATGTTTTCTACTTTCCACCCTCTTTGCCTCTCAGTGACATTCATTCCTCAGCTGCTGAGTTGTCTCCCGGAGACAGGCTGCTGAGCTTGCTCCCATGGCAAGTGCATGGAGCAGCATCTTCCCCAGCTTCCTCCAAAGCTTCCAATGGCCATGGGCCAGAAGAGCCACACATGGAGGACAGGAAATGCCAGGTCCTTTGAAGGCCATGGGACTCAGGGCCTGAGCTGACATTCATACAGGGGGACACAAAATGCCATTAGAGAGGAGGCTTGCAGAGCACAGAACCTCGGTCCAATCTGATTCACAGTGGTACAAAGGCCCACCCTATGATCATTTCTTCAGTATCCGAGTGTGTATCAGGATGTCTCTTAGTGGTAGGAAAGGCCAAAGGAAAGACTTCAAAAAGCACTTCTATTCTCATGGCTAAAATAGTCTAGCAAAACGTCCTGTATCCCAGGGGCAAGAATGACTTAGCATCATCCTGAAAGACCCTATTTCACCAGTACAACCTTAGCAAAAATCAGATGAATAAAAAATGAGATACTTAGATATAATCCAGCAAAATATGTAAAATATCTATGTGAGGAAAACTACAAAACTCTGATGAACAAAATCAAAGAAGAGGTAAACAAATGGATATTCCATGTTCATGGATAGGAAGACTCAACATTGTCAAGATGTCAGTTCTCCCCAACTTGCCCTATACATTCCATGCAATCCCAATCCCGGCTAGCTATTTAGTGGCTGTTGACAAACTGATTCTAAAGGTATAGAGAGAGACCAAAGACTCTCTCAGAATAGCCAACACGATACTGAAGGAGGAAAACAGAGTTGGAGGACTGATGGTGCCATTTTCAAGACTTCCTGAAAGACTTCAAGGCTACAGGCATCACAACAGTGTCATATTGGCAGAAACAACAGACAGATGGGTCAGTGGAATGGAATATAGAGCCCATACATAGACCCTACAAATATAACGAACCGATCTTTGACCCTTAAGGGAGTGATGGCAATATAGTGCAGCAAAAATACTCCCTGTGACCACCGGACATGCACATGCAAAATGATGAACCTAGACACAGATCTTATGCCCTTTTCAAAGATTAACTGAAATTGTATCAGAGACACAAATGTAAAGCAAAAACCTATAAAACTCCTGGAAGATAACATAGGAGAACCTTTAGACGACCTTGGGTGTGGTGATGATGTTTTAGCTACAACACCAAAGGCACAATCCATGAGAGAAATAATTGGTTAGCTGAACTTCATTGAAATGAAAATCTCCTGCTCTGCAAAAGATGATGTCAAGAGAGTAAGACAAACCACAGAGTGGGAGAAAATGTTTGCAAAAGACATGTCTGACAAATGATTACTATCCAGAATATGTATTTTTTTTTAAATCTTGAAACACAGCAAGAAAGCAAACAACCTGATTGAAAAATGGGCCAAAGACCTGACCACACACCTTGCCCAGGAAGACACACAGATGGTGATGAAGTACATGAAACGAGTGCCCACGTCACATGTCATCAGGGACGTGCAAACAAAAACGACAACGGGAAACCTCTCCATGCCGATGAGAATGGTTGAAGTCTGGAACACTGCTGACGCCAAATGCCGGCAAGGATGCAGAACAGTAGGAACTCGTGTCTGTTGCTCAGAGGAACGCAAAATGTCAGCCACTTGGAAGAGAGTTTAATGGTTCCTCACAAAACTAAACACACTATTACCACGCGATCCAGCAATTGCATTCCTTGGTATTTACCCAAAAGAGCTGAAAACTCATGTTTGCTCAAAACCTGCAATGAATGTTTACAGCAGCTACATTAACAAGTAATCACCCAAACTTGGAAGCAGCTAAGATGTCCTTCAGTGGGTGAATGGATAAACGGACTGGCCCACCAGACACCGGGATATCACTCAGTGCTAAAGAAAAATGTGCAGTTGACCCACGGAAAGACGTAGAGGAACTTAAACGCTTATGACCAAGTAAAGAAGCCAATCTGAGAAGGCGACATTCTGTATTCTGGGAAAGACAACATTACAGAGACAGTAAGAAGATCAGTGGTTCCAGGGGTGAGGAGAGAGGAAGGGAGGGACGAACAGGTGAAGAATGGAGGATTTTTAGGGCAGGGAAAATACTCAGTATGAAACCATGCAGATGGATACGTGTCGTTACACATGTGTCCAAACCTGCAGAGAGCACGACACGGAGAGTGAGCCGTAAAGTGAATGATGGATTTGGGTGATGGTGACGTGTCCACGCGGTTTCCTCAGTTACAACACACCTACTGTCTGCTGAGGGACGTTGGTGATGGGAGGGGGGCATTTATGGGATATCTCGATGCCTTCCTCTCAATATTGCTATATATCCAAAACTCCTCTAAAAATAGTCTTTAAAAAATAAAATACATTCGAAATGTGGTGAACGACACGTGGCCTGTAGCCAAGGTGCTCTGGTGGGTGGTCTGGACTGCGCGGAAGGGGTCGGCACAGGCTCCTGGTGGCCGAGCTGTGGAACATGTGCCCTCCAAGTCCTGTGCAGGAGGGACTGGAAGAGGCAACAGTGTGAAATCCTGGTCTTGCCCCAGGCTGAGGTAGGCCCACCTGCTCTGTGTCACGATGCAGGCCTCGTGGGCCTTCATCACCCAGACAGGTCCTGTACAGTATCCTGCTGGCTTTCAACATTGATGACATCATACTGATAAGGCCTGGGGAGCACTGACTGGCAAGAGCTTCTGATGCCTTGTAGGACACTTTTACTCCAAAGGCTGGGAGACAAATGTGACCGTCTCAGGGTTGTGTCAGAGCTGAAGGCTGGAGAGGCTCAGTGGTCTGGGCATGCCAAGACATTGCTTCGGAGGAATAGCAGGGATTTTTAGACCAAGCTCCCCTCCTGTGATGAGCGAGGGCAGGGCCAGGCCGCCCCCACTGGCCTTTATAGGTCACACGCCCCTCACTGGGAATGTCTGCGCAGCGGGTGACTTGAGGCTGTCAGTTCTGAGTAGGGCTGGAGTGGGGATGGGCTCATGCTGCAGCACAAGCGTGGCTCTGAGGGTGTCCCTGGGGGAAGGGGACAGCACGTAGTGTCTCTGAAACCCCGACGTGCAAACCTGCAGCAGGGAACAGCTCATCAGAATGCAGTGGCTGTAGTGGGCCATGGTGGGGAAGGAGCCTCCGGCCACGGGAACTTTGGAGGCTACGGGACCTGAGCTGCCCCTCATGAGCCAAGGGTTACAGAGAGGCTTGCCTGTGCAGTGAGATAGGATTATAATAATAATAAAAGGCATGAAGATTGGAAAAGGAATGAGACTCATATTCACAGACAAATTGCTTGTCTACATAGAAAGCCCCAAGGAATCCACAAAGAAACTGCTAGACTTTGTGAATTTGGCCGGGTTAGAAGACAGGTGAACAGAGAGAAAAATTAATTGTCCTTGTATACATTAAGAATAAACAACTGGAAAGAAAATTTTTAAAATACCATTTACGATAGGGGCAGAACTGTCCAACACCCAGAAATACATGTAACGCGGGGTATGTAAGTCCTGTGCACGAAAACATCGCTGAGTATAATTTAAAAGACCCAAATTAACGTTCATGAATAGGAATTTATATTTTGATGATGTCCGTTGTCCTTAACTTGATTCATAGATTTATTTCAATTCTTATCAAAATTCCGACAAGCTGTTCTGAAGAGAGAGACAAGATGATTCTTAAATTTATGTGGAAATTCAAGGCATCTAGGATAAGAAAAGCAATCTTTGAAAGGGAGAGCAGAATCGGAAGGCTGGCACGACTTGCTTTCAAGACTCTGTGAAGCTGCGGTGTGGGCGGCCGTCTGGGCCTGGATGGAGGCAGCGCCCCGGGGAAGAGAGGCCAGAGCGCGTCTGCAAGGATGATCAAAGGACGAGGGGCCGCGTCCATCAGGTGGGCTCAGGAAAGCCTGTTTAAGAAACGTTGCCAGAACACAGGCTGTCGGGGTGGATAAAAGCGAACCTGCCCCCTTTCCACCCCATGCACAAAATTAATATAAAGTGTGTCCTGAACCTCAACACTAAAGCTGACACCATAAAGTTTCCAGAAGAAAACAAGAGAGATCTTTGGAAACTCTACATCATCAAAAGCGTCCTGACAGTTTATCAACGGCACAGACCATGAGAGAAGACACATAACTGGGAACTCACGGAGGGAAAAGACCTGCTCTTTGG